CCTTTTTCAAGATGCGCTTCACTCCACAGCCCTGTGCAGTCTCCGTTTTCGGCTTGTCGGGGCGGAACCCCGCAGAGGACACCAACCGCCCCAGACCGGTCCTTGGAGCTGCTTGCGCGGCTCTGGGTTTCAGTGCTTCCAGCGGATTGGCTGGTCTCGGCGAGCAGGGCGCATGGAGAAGGCGTCTCGGCCCCGACATCTGGGGCAAAAACGTCCCCAAGTTGGCCAAAGGACCGGCAAGGTGCGACCTAACCGGTGATTTGCTCTTTAGCACAAGATGTATCCTAGGCATCGTGTTGAACAAATTCCATGAGAAACAAGCACGAGAACGCGCTCACCGCGCGCAAGGGCGCTCATGTCTTTGGGTCAAGGACAATTGCCGCCGTGTCCGGTAAGGTAGAATGGGTCACCATGACCTCATATGCCCCCCAGCTATGTAAGCAAAAAACCTAGAGTTAGCCAAACCAACTGGTTGCCTGGCAAGACGGAAGCACAGACGGAGGCGTTCTGAGCCGGTTCTCAAGGGGGCAGGGGGAGGGGAGGGCCAACGGGAGGGATGCAAGATGTTGATGGATTGTTGCTACCCAATATGATATCCTAAGATAAAGATACTATGGAGGGCTGTACGACCATGGATGGTCAGGCCCGATTTTGAGGTGCCACTTTTTGCCCCCCGACTCTGGACGAGGGGCTGAGATCGAGTTCTCCGCCGAGGAGAAAAGGAGCTGCCCCGTGCACGCGTAGCCGGGCTCCGTTTCCCCTCGGCTATCCTGCGGAAGCTGGGAAGTGAAACCCCATGGAAGCTGGACTCCTCATGGGTGTCGAGGGTGCTGGTACCAACTAGTGGAAAACCGCCCGGTTTCGGAGGCGCAAAAAAAAAGGCACGCCCTCATCAGGCCGCTCTTCAGACTGGATTTTCCGAACAGTTGATCATGTTGCTGGTGGGTTCCAATGATCCTCCTACTTTTGAAGGGAAACGAGGCTGGCCTGTTTGCTGGTTCATTCAGTGGTTTTGCCACGTTTTGTTTCTGTGCCTAGAAGACTGGCTGGGCCAGGCCAAATTCACCTCTTTGGCATTGGCTGCCGAGTCACCTCCAACAAGTTGGTCACCCCATCAAAAGTTTGGGGCCCTAAAGGCGGAGAAATGGCCGGGAGGCCCTTCAAAATCCCAGCGCAGGGTCCTTCTTGCAACCTGCGAAGAGGTCCGTTCTGAAGGAACCAAACAAGAGGCATAGCCATAACACAGGTGCCAATGCGATCAATCTGTTTCCGAGTGGGCAAAAGATTGAATGATGATCCCCAAGTTCCAACAGGATCAACAGCTACGGTGAAGGTGGGTAAGTAGATGGAAGACAAAGCAGAATCGCCGAAATTGCCCAGGCAAATGACTAGAACCGAGTTGCACCCAGATCGAAACCAACCGAAGGGACTCTACCCGTCTCCTCTCGCTCGGATGGCACCCTCGCCACAAACTCGGAGTCGGAGCTGTCAATCTCTGGGCATCCCCAAACCACGTGCAGAGGATCTGCGCAAGGGATGGAGTGCCGTTCGGTGGAAATGAGCGTTGGATCCCCGCCTTTAAGGCACCCCTGGAACTATCTGAGTTTGGGAGGGCCTGCAGATCAACGTAGACATACCGAACCATCCCAACACATCATTCGCGAGCAAGGATGAAAGGCATGCCTCTCAGGTACATTCCCGACCCTCAAGATGTGTGTTGGAGAACACCCCGAAACAGGGATCCTTTGACAGCAAGCAAAGCACAGCAATGCAAAGCACAGCAAAACAAGCTTGATCAAAACTGCAAATTCACAACAAATAGCAAACATGAAATTCGGCCCACAAAGGATGCCATCACGGTGAGCTTGTTTCAGTTTTCTTGTATTGGACTGTTACATACACCTACTCCCTTCTCTCTGTCGAATTCGGATTAAACAACTCATCATCGGGATTCAGGCAAGAGGCAAGGTGTCACTTTCAGTTGTGGAGGCGAGCCTACATTGGGCTATACCCCCCCACCAAGTACATTCTTAAATTCCATATGACACATAGCATGTCAGTAAGGTAACCTCGCAGAAAGCAGGTCTGCGTTGGCCATCTGGACAGGTTTTTCGCCGCCAGTTGGCGCGCCAGTTGATATTCCCTACCTGCGGTTGCCCTGTTGAGACATTGGGGGGTGCTGGCACATGGCTCTGCCTCCGTTTCGGGGGAGTGACCAACAACCACAGCTTGCCAGAAGAAATGGCTGTGGGTCCAACATGGGGTAACCCGGAAATGGAACCGAAACATGGAAAACCTGCGGTCCTCAGAGACCAAATCCGCGACCCCGTTCTTCGGATCGGCTTTTGGCAGTGTTCCCCCCATGGAAGCAAGTAGAAAGCGATCGAAAGTTTGCCCCCGGCCTGAAAGGCCGGATGCTGCCTCGCGGGGGGGGGGGGGGGGCAAGGCGTCGCTTTCTGACACCGGGCTTTGAAGTTCCAAAAGGGTTCGCCCATTTTCACAACTCACCATTCGAATCCCTCAAAGGGTGCGGATTGGAGACACAGGACCCAGGCATGAAGCAAGCAGAACAAGTTCGAAACTCCTGGCCAAAACGCTCACAATTCCCCCCGGCGTGTGGCGTGCTTTAGCTTGAGGCATCAACTGCCTGAATCGGGAGAAGAGTTGGGCTTATGTCCTTCATGGTGGATTCAAACTTGACCAAAAGCAGCGCCGAACTTCCTTCCAGTGATCCGCCGATTGGAGAGTTTCCGTGAGGAAAGCATTGCACCCGGACACCGAGCCAGCCCCCAGGTCTTCGGGCCGTTGCCCCAAAGCCAAATCTTCCCACAGGAAGGGTCAAGGACATTTCACCAACTGGTTCTGTCGGGATCACCAGGGTTTGGGCAAGAACCTACAGGATCTGTAGTACAGATCCTCTCAGGGAAAAAAAAGGAATAAAAGAAAACAGAAACAACATATGGTTCATCTTGGGGTCCTTCCCTCCTCGCGAAGCAGCAAACTCAGGCAATGTGTAGCGACAACAAAGAACTCACCTGGCTTTCAGTAGAACCCTGCTGCAAGCTCCGCCCAGATGCGGCCCAATCGATTGGGCCCAAATGCATTTCAGTCCAATAGCTCAATGCCCTTCTTCCCAGAGGGTATCAAGATCAGTTCCCCGGAGGGATCCCCTGTCAGTTGCCCTGTTCGCCACGGTTTCTTCAGGCATAGGATGGGTTTTGCCCTTGCGCTGAGGCCCCGGCATACATCTTCGTGAGCCCGGAGAACCACGGCAGCGGTTCAAAGTTGGGGGAGTACTCTATAACCCATATGTTCGATCATGACAGGTGTGTCATGTTTAGACTAGTTATACAGTATAGATGTCTAATACCTGAGTGCCGCCCGGCACATCTTGACACCTCAGCCCCTTGGCAAGGGGAACTGGAATCGAAGCCAACAAAAACCCGCAGAGCAGACGCTGCCCTGCGTTCCAACGAGCTTGAGCCCAGAGGTGGTCCATGTGGTCAACACTGTCCCCAAGTGGCTTCTTGGTACACCTGGCATCGGCCCTTCCGCAGCCCGGGTCTTCCAAACCAAAACTAGCAAACCTGAATTGGGGATCTGCCAGCTGTGTCGAAACATAGAGAGCCTTCCAAGCAGTTGGTATGATTGTTGTCTCCCTTTGAAGAATTTCCCTCCCCTCCGTTGGTTACGTGCTGAAGCCAGGTGTTCGACCAAACCGCAACGGTCAGAAGCCCTTTTGCGACGGCCAATCGATGACCCCAGCATCTTGCTTGGGTCGTCCGGGCTCCGAGCCCCAGTTCACCAGGGGTGCTAAAGAGCGAGAGGCCGATGCCAAAGCAACAGTCAGTTTTGAGTCTCACCAGCATCAGAAAAAGAAAGAAAAAAAAAGAAAAAAAAGGAAGAAGAAAAACAAACAACAAAACACAAGGGCGCTTGGGGTCTCAGCATGTTCATTCCTGGGACCCTGCAACACCCCTGTGCCAAACAGCTTGGGTTTTTTGCAAGCCTCAATCCCTCATACTTCCAGGCCGTTCACGAACATTTCCGGCATCGGCCATCGAATTGGCAGCATGCAAAGTGCTTGTGTCAAAATTGGACCAATCCAAATCCTGGCATTCTGGCTGAGTAGCTGTTGAAGCTTGTATTTTGGAAAGAAGCAAAACACACATACAGCATTTGCGAGTCATGAGTCATGGACATGTTTTACAGTACCTGAAACTGATCTGGACAACAACAAGAACATTGCTTGAAGCAGATACAAACACAAGTATTCAAAACAAAGTCAAAGCTGCTCATCCGCTTCACTTCCTGGTAACTTCCCATTCTCCTCCACCCAACTTGCTTCTCCACTGCAACAAAGAAGCGCGACCAAGAGGTCCACAAACTGAGGTACTTTGGCTCCGTTGACGGTGTTCGAACATCCCCTTGCTTGTGCCACTAGGTCCTCCAGTAAAGAGGTAAGAACAAGGGGAACCCTCCCCCAAACAAGGGTAAAAGGGCACTGCTGGGGGACCTAGGCCATTAACGGTGTATCATTGGAGGTTTCCCAACATTCTAAAAAAAAGAAAAAAACGGAACTTCATTCTCTTGCTGGTGCTCAGTAGGGAATGACGGAGTCCGGGTGTTACCAACGAGCCGTTTGGGGATTCCCGACATTAAAGACCACCAGTTGGATGGATTTTTCTCGGGGTCGTTTTCCAGTTCTCATTCCATACCTATCTGAGGGACTCCCTTAAAGGAAACCAAATGGCGGATGGTTATTCTCGGGACCCGTTCCATTTCTCCTTCCCTGCCCATCGCACCAGAAAGCAACGTTGAACCGGAAGGGATTCCCTCAAAGGAAACAACACATCAAGGATGGCTTTTCCCGGGGCTCTGGTTGATAAGGGTCATTTCCTAGATCCTCCAGTAGAGAGGTTAGAACAAGGGTGCCAACTTCTTTTTTCCGTAGTCTATTTTAGTAGGGGAACTCTCCCCCAAAAAAGAATCGGTAAAAGTTGGCACCTGGCTGGCGGACCTAGGCCGGCCTCCTTCCCCACCCGTCGGCCGGATTCTTCGGGTCCAACCTCTCCGCGCACGCGTCACACCTTGGGCTGCGCTGGGCCTGGGTCGAACCCGAGGTCCTGGCACGTCCTCGGCGCGTGGGTGCGGGGGAGGAGTGAACCCGAGATGGCTGTGGTTACGTCAATGGGGTAACCCCAAAATGGCTGGCCCTGGCACATGGAACCCATGGACCAAAATTTCCGGTCCGATTCCTGGTCTAATTTTGACCCACACCCAAATGGGTCCCTCCATTTCCATGTCCAAGCTCCAAGGCCGAGGTTTCCGTGCGCTAGCGATCGTCCCTCCCGAAAACAAAAAAAGAGACCCGGGGAAGGCGCCGGAGAAGCTTTGGAATGTCCGGTGTGCGAGAAACGCGTCGATCAACATGCCATGTGGAGCACCGGCCGAGCGGCTCTGGAAACTTGCCCAACGCGAAAATGGTGGGAAAAACCGCGGCGTTCGATCTCCCCCGTCACGTTGCGGGATTGAAGAGAACTGAAACACACGTAGCTTCAAATGGGGGGGTATCACTACCATCTGACTCAAAAAATCCGCCGGTGCCAATTCCATTGGTTCACCAACTCACGCGAGTCACAATCAAAACCTGGTACAAAAATGATGAACCCAGAACCATGTAACGAAATCAGAAGGCGGCCGCAGCTATTTTTGGGATTGTCCCTTACTCACCTTCATCTACCCGAGTTTTGATTGTGGCTCGCGCAAGGGCCGGTTTTTCCTTTCTTTCTTTCTTTTTTCCGGTGCCGCGAGCCCTGGCTTCATCAAACCAAAAATGGGCATGGGTCAAAATCAATCCACCAGGAACTGGACCGCAGGTTTTGGTCCGTGTTTCCATGTGCCAGGGCAACCCAGAGTTGGGTCCGGTTCAAATTTTGACCCACTACCAAAATGATATTTTTGACCCACTGCCAAAATGATTTAGTTTCCCGTAGGCCACTCGGACTGTGAGGGCTGGGCCGCACCTCTTGCTTCACACCCTGCTCCTGGGCAGTCCGTTCCAAGCTGTCGTCGAAAGGAGCACAGGCAAAAGCACATATCTTGGAAAGGAAAGAATCCGGCTTTGTTTACCAGCATCTTCCACAGAAGTTCGAATTTCCAGAAACTGAGAACAAACAAGAGTATTCATGAGGCTTCAGACCGCCCCAAAGTTGCGCAAGGTTCATTTGCTCACCCTGATGGGGCCTTGACCGTGAGAGTGCGCGAACCCAACAAACCCAAATGCTTGACTAGGTCCCTTCAAAGAGAGCCAACAAATTGAATGACGAGCTTCACATTGGCACAGTAGTTCATCAAGTGGACCCGGAGAACTGCCGTGTCCGTCCCCTTTGGGGAAACAAGGCCCTGCTTGATGCCGAACCTTCAGAAAGGCTGCTTTCTCTGACGCCCGCCTGTCCCCTGGTCTCCGAGTCCAGAGACCGCGCCTCCACTTGGCGCATCCGATCCTGCAGCGCCTCTTGGCCCTCCTTGCTGGGCGCCGGCGACAGGATGGCGCCTCGAGGCGAGAGACGGCTCGACGGCGCCGCGCCGGCGCGGAGGCTCGAAGGCTCCCCCTGCTTCGAGGCAAGAGAAATACGGGAAGGGTGCAAACGGAATGTGGGCTTCACATGGGCAACCCAACAATGGGAAACCTGGACGATTGAACCTGCGGTCCAACTCCGAGTGGTTTCGTTTTGACCCATACCTATGTGTAAAAGGGGTATATAAACTTGAATACGCAGGGAGGCTTGTCCTTGGACAGGCGAACTTGAGGTTGGAAGGCCTCATGCTAATCCAGAAGCGCGCGCAGTTGTCAGACTAGAAGGTCGAAAGCCGCCAAAGCGGAACACTGGGTTGCTGACAACAAGGTTCCCTTGATCAGACAGTTCACTTGGCGTATCATCTCCCTTGCACCTCAGCCTCAGCTTCTCAAAAGTCGTGGAGCAGCAGAGCAACTCTCTTCCTGACTGGATGGGTCAAAAAGAGTCTGAACTTCTTACGTACCACTTTCAGATGCCTAAAGTCCATAACCTCAGGGGGTGAGGAAACCGAACCCCTCGAAGCCTGCCCTCTGAGCTGCGGGCTGTCCAACTCTCCGGGGATGGGGAGCAGCAATCTCAGCCACCACCTCCGGATCCATCTCCCTAGATTCAAGGAGTGACTGGTTAAGGGAAACCACACGGAAAACCGTTGCCATGCTCTTGGGTGAAAAGAAAGACACCATATGTCAAAGACCACACTTCCAGAAACTCACATGGTGTCCTTCATGTTTCCTTCAAGAACTTGCTGATTCTGCAGCGCCGGGGGGGGGGGGGAGAAGGCAGCTTTTCATGAGCTAATAGCACAATTCTATGGGAGTCTCTATGCTATCCTGCAACATGCCAGAAAAATGAAATGCCAATTCAGCCAAAATAGTCTTGCCCATCTGGCACCTTCACCAAACTATGTCGATGGCAAACATGCTGCAACATCCTTGGGAACGAACTGTGCAATCCAGTCTCGCGTCTCGCGTTAACATCACGGCCTGAACGCGTTATTAACAACCCCGCATGCTTTGTTGAGGGCCGTCATTGGGCATAGTAAACTGAACTCATTAGCATACCAGTGCACATTGTGACATCGGGGGTCTCAGCTCATGTAGCTGGAGTTGCCCCTGGCGATAGTGGTGCCAAAGATGCTGTCATGGGGCGGTGGCGGGGGGGAAGAGGTGAGGGGGGGGGGGGGGCCTGCCGTAAGCACTTATCGGCACTGGCCCAAAAGCCTTCAAAACTCTTCACAACTGGTGCACAGGGATCAGAGTCTCGACTCCCCTCCCCTAAGGCAAAAAATGGCCTCTTGCCCATGATCACGGCCAAGTTCTCCGTGGTGCTTTGTCCTCGGACCCCCGAGAAGCGAATGCAGCTTAGAAATCCACTCAAATGGGCGTGTCTCAAAATAGGGGACCCTGGTTTTTTGGTGGGATTCAAAGGGAGGAAACCCTTGCCATCTTAAAGAGGGAGGGGTGAAGACACATTTATATCATTCCGCCGTACGGGAAAGGGGGCCCAAACTAAGCCAAACTATCCAGAACATCTCTGCGCCTGAGGCGCCTGCGATAGAACCCAGGCCCCAATGGGCAGTAGACCTGCCAAGGTGAAGCGCCACCAGGGTTTGAGCAATCAACCAGATGGACCCTCTTGCGCGGGGGAAAAGAAAAAAATGCGTCAAAACGAGTTCCCTTGACTGTAAAGGATGGCGGGGCCTCCCTTCGCCGCGGTTCTTGCCGAGCTGGGCGGGGGGGTTCCATAAGCCAAACTCAAGCGGGCAAGACGGAGACTGTGGCACAAGAGCCGGGCGAAACAGGCACCCGCAAAAATGTCCGGCCTCGCTGAAACGTTAGGACAGGTTTCCCTGAAAGGCACGAGGAAACCCACCCGACCTCACTTAAGTCGGACAGGCTCTTCCTGAAAAGTATAAGGAAACCCGCCGTAGCCATCGGACCTGGGCGAATTAAAAGGGCACGTTTCGGGGGCCTTTTCACCCGACAGGAACCTTTATGCGGTAGGGTTCCAAAAGCAGCACTCGGCGAAACACTAAAAAAAAAAAACACACGCCTGGTCCTGCAGCTGCACGTACTCCTTGACGCGACATCGGGTACAACACGTATTCTCCGGTATGTAGTTGTGTTACGAATATGCAGTATCAACGCATATATGCTTGTATATATATATATATATATATGGTGCCCCCCCCCCAAATGTCGATGTTTTTTATCTGTCTTCATCTGTGATGCTCAAGACATCTGACTCTGCAAAAGGAAAAAGACTCTCCAACTCAACTGTTCGAACCGTTAACCAATTTGCACCCTTTCTCGGAGGAGAGGTCTGGGGCCAAAACCGTTTGAACCGTTTAAACCCCTTCTCAGAGAAAGGGTCTGGGCCCAAAACTGTTTAAACCGTTTAAAACGTTTTAACCCTTTCTGACAGGAAAAGTCTGCCCAAAACCGTTTAAACCGTTTGAACCGTTTGAACCGTTTGAACCCTCTTTGAGGTGGAACCCGGGGGGGGGGGGGGGGGGCTTTCCTTTGAGAAAGGGTTGAAACGGTTTGAACGGTTTAAACGGTTTTGGGGCCCTGGCCCTTGGGGAGTAGGGAAATGGGGGGACCTTTCCTCTGAGAAAGAGCTGAAACGGGTAAAACGGCTTTAGGGCTTTCCTCTGAGAAAGGCTGTAAACGGTTTGGGCCCCCCTTGGGGGAGGGATCTTAGTAATTGGACAGAGGTAGATCCAAGCCGACTAAAATTTCATCCGGGCCTGGATTCAAGATTCGCTGGAACAGTGTTTAACCTGAAGCTTGCAGATTGTCTTTGGACTTGTGCTCTGCTGTTTTTTTTGTTGATTTCCCCAAAGCCCAAAAAAAGCAGAAAACACTGCAAATACTTATGAATTCTGAAAAGTAATTCAAATAGGATATCCTTTTCAAAGAGTACTTTCGCACCAGGACCATGTTCTCACTAAACTTCAATTGAGAATTGAAAGCACGATCCTAGAAAAAGAGACCCCCTTTAGAATCCAGTTTGACAAAAATCGAAATTATAGTTTGAACCATGTTCAATTCAATTGCTTGATCATAATTTAAACATAATTTAAATAATGCCATAATTCTGATTTTAACGATAATTTAGATGGGCTTGGTTTAAAAGAAGGGCTTTAATTGGACTTGTTACAAGTCTTCTTTGAACAGGAACACGTATTTAGATTCTCTTTAAACTAGAACATCCTACTAGGATTATTTACTTATTAAGTTCAAAAAAAGTCAAGAAATTCAAAGTCGAAATTGAAATTGGAATTTAAACCGTGTTCTAGTTGTAGTTTTGATCAGAAATTAAATAGAATTTAAGGACATCTCTCTAGTAGAGTGTCTAGTTTTAACAAGAATTTAAGTAGGCGGTTGTTAAAATAATATTATTACTGTTTCAAATTCGACTTTGAAGCGGGTCTCTTTTTCTAGGATTAAGATCTCCAATCAATTTAGATAGACATTAACAGTGAAACATCCTAATATCATCTCTAGTGTTGAAGATGATGTAAATAGGATTTCTTGTTGGAACAATATGTTTACTTGGTAAGGCACCTTTTTGTTGCTGCTTTCCACAAAGCACAACAAACGGCATAAAACACCGCAAATACCATTGAAACCAACAAAAAGGTCGACATTTGGAGGGGGGCCGTAGCATATATATATATAGACATGTGAACATATCTATATGTAAAGAATACCCATGGCTTCCTTGCGTGCCTTGAAACACAAGAGGGATCTCCCAGAAAAGAAGGGCCCCCGGGTTGTGACACTAAGAAACACACCTGCCGAGTTCTACATTGGAGTCAGGCCGTCTCTAGCAGGCCAAGCAGTCAAGCGTCTGCCTTACCTTTGCGAGTCAAATTGCAACCTGCAACAAGTACCCTCCTGAAAACCAACATGGGACTTGAACAAGGCCCTATGAAAGGCCAGATTGCTTTCAGAGGACCGTGTTTGTTTCTTGCTTGTCTCTTGTTGAAAGGGCATCCTAGAAACAAAAAAGAGACATCCCGTGTGGCGCGAGTCGCTCCTTCATGGGAAACAGCCTCTCCATTGTGGTCACGTTGCCACCTCAGCAAACCACATCGCTCCGGTTTGGGGAAGCTTAGTGCTGGTCCAAGGTAGCTCCCTTGCATCTGCTTTTTGTGGAACGGGAAATCAACAGGGACGATGCAACCTTCTGAACACAATACTGATGTCCTCTCTTAGGGACACCTAAGGAGCGTGAAACAACCAATGTGCTTGATCAATCAGGCGGTTCGGTCGAATCCTATAGCTTTGGATCTGCCATAGCAAACAGATGGAGTTTGGAAAGGTGCTTAATCCGGAATGGCACCTCTCTGAAGTGAACCTTAAAAGAACAGCTTCCGTGAACTACAACTAAATTCTGACAGACATCGTATCATGTCGGGTGGACCGCTGGTTGTTAAGCTTCTGCATGTGGCTGTCCTTTTAAGGAGGCCCTGATCTGACCACAACCTTGCGTATCCAAGGCCTTGGGGATCGCCACAAGTTGCCAAATTGAAACAGAATCATTGCCACAGAATCGCTGCGGATTCGATTGGATATAGAGGCCTTTGCTCCTCAGGATCACCCCAGGACAAGCGTTGGCGAGTCCTGGAAAACCAAACCTGTATATGTGTGTGTGTGTGTCCAAAGATGTAAGGTTGGGACTGTCCCTTACCAGCGCGCATGATGTGGTGATGTGGGGTGGGGGTGTTATACTCCCCCCCTTTTGGGTCGAAAATAGGGAAACCTCTCGAAATGCTGATTTCCTCCTTAAGCCTTTGCCTTTGCGATTGTCGGCCTGCAGCCATGTCGGCCAAGACCGCTCCCTCAAAGGTTTCCGGTCGGTTGCACGTCACCCTAAACAAGGAAATTTCTGGGAATTGGCAGCCGACCATCATAGAAGCCTCCCTCCCAGACCAAGCAATGCAGAAACAAGGCAAACGAGAAGCAGTGCCTGGCGCCTAACTGCCCACTCACACTCACACACACACACACACCAAAGCCCAATCAAACCACCCAATCTCGCCGCTCAATAAATACACTCCCTTTACTGACAAAAAGTGGTGTCGAGTTCAAAGTTCGGCTCCAGAGTTCTGCCACCAGGCCTAACATGGGAGCTCTGTGACCAGCCGCTGGAATAAACAATTATATATTCTATGTACCTGGGGCGGGAAACATCCCCAAGCGACTTGGTGAAAGGCCTGGCTGAGAGTTCTGAGTTTTGGCCGGGACCCAAACCGGGCCGGCTACGCCTTGAAACGCCACGCGGACCCTGAAACGTGCCTTCCAGCTTTGGGCGACCTCCTGCCCACGCTCCCACCCCTCCCACCCCCACTTTCAAGCTTCTTCAAACCAAATGGGGGAAATGGGGATGTCTTCTTTTTGGGGTCCCCCAAACGGAAGCTGATTTTCCTCTGGTCTCCTTCAACACCCACGCAAAAAAGAAAAAAGGCATACCCAAACCGTCCAAAGCAAAATCGGCGGCTTCCTTGCGTTCCCTTCCAAACCAACCCAAAAAACGAAATTCTCCCTCCCCCAAAAAACAAAACGGGGCTCATCGCCACCCAGCCATCGCCAAGCCGAAAGCCGGGGGCCCCGGCACGCCAGGTGGCAGGCCGGAATTCCGGTGCCCAGCACCGCCACCAGGGCGCTCACGGTGGACACCTGCGTCGCAGGCACCATGGCGGTGGATCAAAAATGGGTGTGGCTCAAAATTCAGGAGCTGGGGTTAGGCCAGTTTCAGTCTTTGGCTCCATTTACCAAGGTGGCTATTTTAGTACCGGTTTTTTGAGCCACAGCCAAATGGGTATCCTCACCTTCATAGACTTGGAGGGGCGTGTTGGTCCAAAATGTTATTCGTGAATAAGCCCTTGCAACTACATGTTTGTGACCTGCATCCCACCCTCCCACCCAGAGGTGGCCTTTTGAGGCAAAATTGATGAGTTCCCTGGTAAATGGAACAAAACCCGTCTGAGCCAGTGCCAACCTCGCTCAGCTAAAAAACATCTGTGCTGGCCCTTGCTGGCCCCCAGTTTTGACCATGGGTAACTTTTCCGCTATTTTAGTGGGGGGAAATGTCATGGCTTCCCCCAATGGTCATCCTATGTATTTCGGACCTTTTGATCAACCCCTATATGCCCTCAGACTAACAGCCGGGTTCGCTCCCAGAAGGCCTCCCTCCCAAACAGCCGGAACCCAAAGATACTCGCAATTTTCATGATAAGTTCACAAGCTGAGTTCAGAATTGGATCTCCAAGGACCCTTTATCATGGTGAGCTCGTTACCGTCGTTACCTTTCCTCACGTGAGCTCGCTAAAAAAGATCACCGGAAAGATGGACGTATCCTCCCTTGTTACAGCCGGAACCTGACGGGAGATGGCCAATGGTCCAAACGTCAGGTGCCATGTTGGTTGGTGGGGTATCCAAAATGGCTTGCCCTGCATGGAAAACTGGCGGTCCGATGCTTTAATTTTTGAGCCATACCCAAATGAGTGTCTGTGTTGAGGGAATCCCCCCTTTTTTATGGTAGGGCTCCCCCATGCCTCTCCCAAACTGACCATAGACTATTGTACATGTTGACCGAAATTCATACGAGTGTGTCCGTTATTTGGATTTAAACCCTCAAAATGAAATTCGGGTTTCCTGTGATTGTCCCTTTGAAACCTACCAAGAGTTTCTAGAAACCTCAGAATCAGCCAGTGAACAACTGTGCTGGGCAGCAATGGCAATCCAAGCATGTGACCCTGGTCTGAAATAGAAAAAGGCCCCCCAAGCACAGCAAACATCACGATAGGGGGCTCCTTTCTAAGGAGCCCAAAGAAGTCTTAGCGGTCAAGAAGGGGTTCCTCGATTTCTCCCCGGAGTCACACACGATGAGTCGCTTACATCAAATATGTAAGCTTGGGATGCGATCTGCTGTCACCCCGGGTACAACCCAACCCCCCTTTTTTCCAGATCCCCCGCGCCAGCTGCACCACAATCTCGATTCCCTTGTCCCGCAGGACCTGCCAAGAAATGCTGCCAAACCTCCCTCGGGGAAGCCAGGAGTGTATAGGGGCCCGTGCCTGATTTCTGGGCTTGGAAACTCCCGAGTAGGACCCTCCCGGCAAAGGGGCAGTCGGCCCGGCCTGCACAAAGATGGAGAAGGCGACCCCGGCCAAGCCAAAGTTGAAGTGCTTGTTCAGCCTCGAAAAGAAAGCTCTCCCTCCAACACAAGGGGTGGCTGCAATTGTCTCATGTTGATCCACTTGAGCGAGCCCCGTCTGACTACAGTCCTATTTGGACCTGATACAATGCGATGACACGTGGCCCAGCCCGAGCAAAGCCCGGAGAATGTGGGGACAGGCCCAAAGAAGCATGCCAAGTTTGAGCATTTCCCAGTTCACTCACTCGTGTCGTAACGCGCTTTCGCGGGAAGAACGGACTCGACTGAGGGCCCCTGCGACGCCTTGTGCTCCTTCCACTTGGGTTCCTCTGCTCGGATTCCATCCCCTTCCGACGAAGTGGGAAATCGAAATCCAATTGGTTCCAAGAAGGTTCTTCCCTCCTCACAAGGGCACAGGGAAACTTGGGCGCTTCAGCCCCCTGGCTCTTGTGGGAAACATACTCGAGCGAACGAGCAAAGAAAACTAAAGAAACAGGACTCTGGACGAGTTGCGTGGTCGAACTACGAGCCGAAACAGCATCTAAACGGCTCCCAGCCGTGAAAAAGGACTTGCATCGCGAGCAAACAATGGACTACCGATACACTCGGGATTCATCGACCCCTGGCCAATGACGTTTTTTCAGGCGGAAGTACTTCAGGGGTGGCGCAAAGGGTGCTTTGTTACATCCCGACAAAGTCGGTGTCAGATGTTCCTCTTTACATTCAATCATGCCTAATTGAGTTTCTTCTGGCTTGTTGCGCTGTGAGGTATCAACCTGGACATGTGACATGGAAAAAGCGGGCTCAAACTCCATGCATTGTGCCAAGAACTCGCCAAGCGCTGAGTGACGAGGGGAATAGGGGGATGGAGGGCACACTGTGACGCTAGTACTTGAAGCTCCCTTTCTTATTCGCTGATCCTCTCTCTGGGACGTGGGAAGTGGAAGCCATGACAAAGGTTGTGCAAATACATGTTCATGTAAGAGTGTGAATGCTCAATAAGTGAGCCAAAGATTGGGTGAGTCGACGAGCAGGTGAGTCAACACACAACAAGCATAGTGAGAAAGGGGAAGTTCAAGCAAAGTGAAGATGGGGCTAGGGCAAGGTAAACGCAAAGGTGCCAGTTGAATGGCAAGGATTACTGTGATTGAGTGCGAGTGAGTGCGAGTGAGCGCGAGTAAGTGCAAGAGAGAGACAGAGAGGGAGAGTGCTGAGTGTAAGAGAAAGCTATCTGTGTTTGGCACTGACAGGAGGTGCACACCTGAAAGGTGACCTCTCGGGACAGAACAACCACCTCGAAGCACCTCGAAGCCCCAAGCACCATGTGGTAGGCACTGTGTCTAAGCAATGCCCGCATGGCCGTCTTGCAGACAAGCGTCAATGTGATCCGTCCATCGTGACAAATGGTCTGTGGTGTACGCAGCACCCACGCACCTCAGTCATGGCAGTGACGGATTCGAATCTGACATCTCACCTAGCCAAATCACGCGAGGGCGCACCATCCTCTACCTGGACATTTGTCAAAATGGTTGGGGTGCTGCTTTCAGGATGCAATCGTGAGAGTCCCAGAGAAGTAGGGCCTTCGGATCTATGTTGGCGTCATGTTGGCCTGTCTAGAGCTCTTCCAAAAGGGTCCCAACCGCGCTTGGCAAGACGGTTGGGATTTGTACCAAATCCAACTCTAAACTCCAAAAATCCAAAGGTCTGCGGAAATGGCGGGCAACCGCCAAGCTATGGTCGCTTTTTGCCCCCCAACCCCCAAAAGGGGCAAAGACCAGAATTGGCACCTGATGCCCAGCTGAAAGGTCCAAATTCCGGCCTTCTGTTCGGTGTGTTCCCATGGAAAACTGCCTTCTGGCAAGTCCGTCTGCCTGCTGTTCATTGGTTTCATTCCGGAAGGTGATATGGCATGGTGATGCGCCATTCTGTGCTTGCCAGGCATGTGATGGCTTGATGGGGAGTGGTGTGGTGTAAGTGGGGTGGGCTAAGGTGGGGTGTGACGCTACGGGGTGCATCGAGGTATGTGACACTTGCTTGTCAAAACAGAGCACCTGGGAACAGTCTCAAAAGCCCCCCCCCTGAGCCTCCCTGCAGAACCAGGGAGTAGAGCAGACCTATGAACCTGCGACTCTTCACTGTCAAGGTAGATCTGTATACAAGGGCCACAATCGGACACCTCAGCGCATCGCCAATCTTTGAAAGGATTCGGATGTTCCCTCAACAGATTCCCATGGATCTCGAAGGATAGGCTTTTGCGAAAACGGAAAAGAAAAACAACCTGAAGTAGACTGCGATTGTAGGAAAGTCATGTCTCCTTTTTGGACTCTTTATCCCACGCGAAGCACATGTTCGAGTCCCAAAAACGTGTATCCGACATCAGCCACGTGGACAAAGGGGCGGCCAGCATCCTCCCCTGCAGTATGCGGATAACTTTAGACAGGGGCTCGCGTGTCCGGTGACCCTAAGGGGTCTGCTTCAGATTGAGACCAGCTTGCTCCCTCCCTTGCAGCCAAAAGTCTGGAATTTGATGGATGATCCCCTTTGGGAACACGGACGCTGACTAAAAATGGATCAAAATTGGTTGAAGCCAAGAGAAGCCCAAAAGATCTATTTGCGTTGATTTGGATCGACATACCTGATATAACCAAAGCTCCGTGTGCAAAGACTCTGCATTTCCTGCATCTTTCTCTTGCTTCGCTGGGTCGGGCACGCACTTCGCCAGGATTGCTCAGCGCCCGAAAGCTACCGAGTCTTATCGGGTGAAACAAGTTCGACATTACGCGGTGACTGTAACTCTCCAAGAGCCATGTGGCCATGGGTCAGAATCCCGTACCCCCAGTGAACATCCCAATCCCCACCAAAATAGGTTCAAAAATGGGTGGTGCACCTAGCCCAAAATGGGATCCCATTGGCTTTGACCCACGGCCATGTCACGTTCGGCTCCACGGCTGAGCGCGGAGATCAGTCCTTCGCCTGCGGCTTCCGCGACTTCACCGAGTTGGGCCGGGGCCGCTTCTCGGCCGTCCGCTTGATGCGGCGCAAGTCCTTCACCACAGGCCGCCGCGAGGTGTCCGCGGCCCCCTCAGGCTCGGGCGCCTCGGCCGCCTCGGCCGGGCTCGCGTCCTCCATGTCTTGAGGTTGTGGGCTGGGCTCACGTCTGGGCTCAATGACCGCGCCAGGACGATTGACCTTCGTGGCAATAAGCTCGGCCTCCTCCACAGAGACTTTCTGGCCTGACGCTAAAACCGCGCCGCCGCCAGCCAGAACCTCCATCTTGGGGTGGCTCTCTTTTATGATCTTGTTCAGCATCGCTTTCTCTTCCTCGTTGTATTTTCGCCGATTTCCGCGAAAGACCGTGCCCGCCATGGGCAGGTTTTGTGCCCTGAAGTCGACGGGCTTCATGACCTCATGCTGCGGAAACACTGCATCTTCGCTTTCCGGATACTTGAACGCATTTCTCGGCCTCGACAGTGTAGTGCTGCGACCTTGAGCTACTTGCACAAGCTTGTCATGCTTCTCCTGCTCACGAGGAGTGACCAGCATGGCATCGATCCGTTGCCTCTTCACTGTCCGCAGGCGCTTCTTGATCTTCGATCGAATAGACTTACCCATGGCTCACCTCCAGGCAAACAGCTATCTCACAGCCCGATCACTTGAGCCAAAACACACTGGGAACGAATGAGTTTGGTAGATGGGACGAACAAGGACGAGTGGTTCTACACAAGGAAAGGTCGCCAAAGTGTCAATTCGTCCCATGCCCAAAGTCCTGAGACCTGCCCTCCCTCTGACCAATCTGCATATCATTGCCACTCAGGTCCAGGCGCGAAGATGTAAAAGAGAATGAAGTGGCCATGATTCCGCCTCAAGCTCGGACCAAGTGGTTTGGGCCGCCAGGGTTTCAAGATAGTGCCCAAGCTTACCATGAGCCGAGGGCGCGGTGCTTGGTTTGAGAAAAGACTGCTAGAATGCTCCTGACACATACTCATCACCAATGCCATGACTTGTCATCTGTGGATTCGCAAGTTCCCGCCAGCTTGCTAATGGAGCCCCGGGCGCACCAATGCAGTTGCCCGTGAAGGGGCAATGATGATCCATACCTCGGGGACAGCCCTTCACCACTGATGTGCCCGTGCACACGACAGGTGGATGCACCCCCGAGCCCCGAGTGGCTTCTGCCTACCTGGCCAACAGTACCCATCAAGACTTACCTGCACGAATCGCACTTGCCACAGACCATATCGCAAGTGCACGCGTTTGGCCAAACTTCCATGTGCAGGATGCCTAGCCATCTCGGCATTGATCAACCCAAACATCACCATGCAAACATGAGTCCGCGCACACAGCAAGGCAACCGTTTCCCAGGAAACTGAACGTTCCCTCGTTCCTTTTCATGGCCTAACAGCCAAATGAGGGCACTCAAAGCGTCGCGATCTGGAGACAAATACAAACAGCATGTGCTGGGCGCCCGTGCGCAGGATGCAACGATTGCAAGTGCTACCTGGGCGTCAGGGTGCTCCTGTTCCAAGATGATTTGGCGTGGCTTCGATTGGCTAAGACGTTGGAAAGTATCACTGGGCGCGCGTTTTTGCGTGTCCTTGTCCGCGGGGCGTTTCGGGAGTTGCAAGCGGTTTGGCCAAAGATATGTCTGGGAAACTGGAACACAGCCACGATGCATGGCGAACGGGGGAATGATGCTTGAAGGTGACTTGGTACAGCCTCAGGGCAACGAGACGCAAGGACGAAGCCGGGGGGCTGGGGCGATGCCTGAGAATTCCTCAAGGCTCCTTAAGGAAAGCTCAAAGGACGGCCCATTGGACATCCGGTTCCTGACCCTGTGGCTCAAAAAAGTGGTACCCATTTCTTTCATTTTGAGCCGCGCCCATTTGGAACCCCGTCCCAAGCGCTCCAAAAAACGGCAAAGGGCGGAATGGACAAAGGCCATGGACTCCAAGGCCCCTGCAGTGGTGGGATCTGGGCGGCTTCCAGCATGAGCACTTCCTGAGAGCGAAAGCCCATGGTACAGGCCCTGTGGAGTTGGGCTTGCCCTGTAATTTGGGGTTTGGCCTTGACCTTCTGACTTTTTGGTGGTTTGATTCCCTGGCTATCGTTGGAAGCCTTGGGCCGTCCGTCTCCAAGCCATTGGCGGAACTCCGGGCGGCTTCTGGCAGGTTCATAGGAGGGGGCAACATGTGGTGGGTGTGCCCACTTTCTGGTCGGAATTTCGCTGCCGACGCTGGAACCTGACCGGCGAGGGTCTGGACGGCTCTCCTCTCGAAGGGACCTGGGCGGGGCCTGGGCACCCCACCCCTTCCAACAAATCCACCAAGGGCCCGGCGTGCACCAATTTGGCGCGTAGAACAGCGCCAGCCTGGAGCAAAGGTGAATTCAACCTGAGACAACCAAAAGGGATCTGGCTTCAAAGGGAAACGCTGGAATCGCGCCACGAAATCAAAGAAAATCAGTTGGGCGTTGATTTGGGCGGGATCAGATCGCCCAGCAGTGCACCAGCGGAAAGAGGCAATCTCAACTCACCGGTTTCAGATCGCACAAGAACAAACCACAGGAACACCTAACTTGTCGACGTTCGGCGCCGCTTCGGCGCCTGGCCAATACCCCGGTTCAAACCAAATCTTTGCCTGGGCCCCAGAAATCGTCAGATCTTCAGAATTTCTTTGGCAGAGTCGAACGAATTCTGAGGCTGGTGCTGGTCCCGGTCGCCTCAAGGCCCCGAAACTGCGAAACTGCGAAACTGCGAAACTGCGACAGCCCCCTTCCACAGGTCGGCGAGGAATCACGGGATCTCACGGTCGGAAACATCAAAGCGGCATTCTCGACATGCAGAACAACTCTAAGGATCCAAACAAACAAACCAACAGGGAAAAAACAAAGAAACAAACAAACAAACTCTAGCCTGTTCGAAATCCTGGGGGCCTAATCGCAATCCATAATCCGCTTAATCCTTGTGTTGTTTGGAAATCTTCTTAATCCCTAATCCGCGCTTCAAGCTTTGGGTCAAAACCGTATGTTGGAGCATGGAAAATCCGTGCACCCCATAATCCGCAATCCGCAAGCCGCATAATCTAATCCGTAAACCGCACAATCCGCAATCCGCTAATTTTGGGGGATTAGGTTTTGAACACGCCGTCCCATTTCACGCATGGTTCAACATGTTTGCGGTCAAGACTCCTTCTATGGCCCATGGGAATGGTTATTGAGGCTCCTCACGAGGTGGATGACCATCCAAAGGTAACCCCAAGCAACAGAGTGATTTGACCACACATGTGGCCAACCAACCCGGTTCTGTTCCTGCCTCCCAGCTGAAATTGCCCGGTGACCTTCGGAAACGAGGAGTGAGGGGGCCAATTGGAGGCGTCCAACACTCTAACGACGGACAAAATTCCCAAAGCTTCGAAGGGAAATGGGAAAACTGTGGCCCAGACCCTCTTCGTTTTGAGGACGTTGTCGACTGTGAATATTGTTGTCAGTGACTCGAGCGAGGGAAGGTTGCCGAAAAAGCGGGTCCAATTTGAGGGGGACACTGGCTTTATTTTGGGGGGCTCTGGCTGCTCTGTACACCTGGCTTCGGAGGCGATCCCTTGCTTCTTCTCTCCAGTGCAAGAATCAGGCATACCCGGAGGTACAAAAATCAAACAATCAGTTGAGCCAAGGGCGCATTCCTGTCTGATCCTTCACTTCTTTGTCTTCTTCAAACGGTTTGGGCATGGCTACCTCCCTGACCGAAGTTCTTGTGGCCACAAAGACCCCAAGACTCGCAGGTCAGAAAGTCCCGCGCCTCCTTGTCAGGCTTCAAATTCTTGCAGCCGCCAGGGTCAGTCCACTGGGTCCTCAGGTTTCCAGAACGGGTTCGCTTCGCGAGTCCACACAGCCCCTGTGACATCGGCCGAAGTGGATGTAAAGCCAACTAGGTCCTCCAGTAGAGAGCTTAGAACAAGGGTACCCTTTGTGTCTAGTCAATTTTAGTGGGGGAAGCCTCCCCAAGAAAATGTAAAAGGGCACTACTGGGGGACCTAGCCAAAAAATGTCGTTGCCCAAACACCTCGTCGGCCAACATTGAAGGGACAAAAGAAAAATCAGTTTCCGTTTGGCTTCCCCGGAAACAACCTCCAAAAGGGGCTACAGGGTCAGCAGGCACCTGGAGCAAACCTTCAGCAAAAGTGGGTTGAAGGATGGATCCAGAAGGAGTGCTCCGGGCCGAAACGAGCCCCTCACGCGATGAAGTTGTACAGGAACTGCGTGGATATCCTCAGTCTGGGGAGCGCCTTCAAACAACAGCGGGTGGAGAAACATGTCCAGCCCCCCAAACCTCCAAGAGTCGGACAGCAGTCAGCAAAAAAATCCAATCGTCAGCCTGTGGTCGCCTTGTGGTCCCCATGTCCCGACTTTTCAGAGTTCCAAACCGCTGAAGTCATTGCCGAGCCAGCCAAGGCAGCTCCCATGGCAAGGGCCCGATATGCGTCCATCCAACCGAGCGCAATCCGGAGAAATCTGAGAGCAAGCGGCCACGCACCAAAGGAGTAGTGCAGCAGCCAGGCCAACCTGCGAAAGGCTTGTCGGCGGTCGCATTCCATGCTGCCGGCATTCGACTGCCACGTTCGTCTTTTCTGGGGCTGAAATCCAAGCCGCTGATTTCACAAGCCCTTGGGATATCCTTGGGGCGTAAAAGAATTGCCTGAAACCAAAGTTGGGATGAAAGCTCAGAGTCTTGGGCCCGTCTCTCTGCTTCACCTTCCGACCAGGGCGTCTTGGCTTCCCGAAGAGGAACAACTACCCACCGGGTTCCTTGTCCACCACAGGTGGTGTTCAACCTAGCCAAAAGTCACAAGGGGAATCTTCTTGGACCCTACCATCCGCCCTCCAAGTGGGTTCCGAAACCTTTGGACATGAAAAGATTCCTGTCCACCGACCAAGCTTGAGGTGGCCGGTGAAAAAATCTCAAGCCAAACGGCAGGGGTCCCCCGCGTCCACGGGGCCACACCCAGAGTGTTCAAGAGGTGCGGCATGGCCAGCACCACACCGAAGACCTCGAGCGATTCATCGGGTCGGGTTGGGGAGCGAGGCATCCCGTCGGGGCAAAGAAATCAAAGAGAACTCACCCTGAAGTCAGGTGAGAGCAAGTTTGAAGAAGTCAAGGGGTAAACTGTCTGTCGTAAAATGGTCCTGGGTTGCTCTTGGGAAGCTTGGGATCCCCTCTCCGAAGCTGAGAACCGGCCGGATACAACAAAAAGCATGCATTCGCCCTGAACTCACCGCTGGGTGAATTAGAAAATCATAAGAGTTCACCAACCAAAACCAATCTGAAATAGACCTCTGAAATATCCCCAACCTTACGTAAGGGCACGCAAGAGATGCCGGCAAACACGCAAACAAATCTACAGGTCAATATGGGTACATGGTCTGGGGTGAACAACATGACTTCTGACACTTTTGGGGTGAGTCACTTCACCAACCAGAAATAAGGGATTCCGAGACACAGACCTTGTTGGTGAGAAAGCAAACCCCTGGTACGTGAGGTCACTGTTTTTTGCTCAGGCAAGATGCCGGAAGCGAGCTGACACCACTAACCGACGCCGGAAGAGGACACGACGCGCAAGAAGTGGAATCTTCCTGATCAGAATCAAGTCTTCAAAAGCAATCACAAGGAGCTCTTATAGAAACCATATTTGCTAATAACTGGTGGCAGCGAACATGCTTTGCGGATTTCTTTGCAGCCACAGTTCCTGCAAGTGGGGCAAGAAGGCCCACTAAGTTTGGCAAAAGCCCTGCGTGTCCAAAGGTTTCTCATGAACTTGAACATCAAAACAGCTAGGAACCTGGTGAATACGAAAGAAGTGACCGTAGAAACGCAAAACATGAGAAACTGCCCAGTTCCACACTTTCTCAAAGGGGAGATCCGCTTGACCATCCCAATAAGAATCTGGGCAGACGAGGGGCCGAGGGCCACTAGCCTGGGCCCCCCTTAATTCGCGGGCAGACGCTCAAAAAAATCGTGGGCTTCCCCACCGGCGTGAAGCCAACCACCTGGGAGGATCGGAAGGACTGGCTCCCTGGTAGGGAAGTGTCTGGGGAGGGGAATCGCTCTGGTCTGAGGGGTGACGGTTACGCATATGAACCCTACGAAACGTACATGAAAACAGAAGAATCCCCTTGACGGTTTCTTGTTTTTGGCAAAGCGATTGAGAGTGGGAACAACACGGATGGCTCGAAATGGTCATGCCAACTCACCGGAACCTGAGAACCAGCAACATACGGGTAACGCGCGCGGGGGAAAAGTACCCTGCAAGCCACAGCAGGTAAGAGCCAAGTTCGGCATGTGCGGTTCCTGTAGAGGGCATGGGAAACTATTTTTCGGGTTCCATCCTGTGGCCGGGAGTGAACCAGTTCAACAAATGGGGGGCAACCAAGCAGAAACCAAGTTCGAACCAAACTGAACCGCATCTGTGTTCACCCCAACTAACCCAAAGGACTGACCACCCACAGGATCCAATATTTTTCCATGTGGTTGCTCAGAGGGCCCGTTTTTTCGGGGGCTTTGGGCTTTGAATGGGGGGGGGTGTAAGAGGGAAGAGTGTGTATAATGTGCCGGGGAGAGGTCTGGGCATCAACATCACACTGAGAGCTGGCTTTCAGGCAGATCTTGTATAGGAATTGATTTCATAAAATTGCAAATCTTAGTCTGAGAAATTGGCTTCCAGGGGAATTTGGTAGGAATGAAATTGCAGATATTACAAATTAATTTGTAAGGTAAAGAAAACTCCAAAATAACACACATTACAAATTTTACAAATTCTAGTCTGAGAAATTAGCTTCCAGGGGAATTTGGTAGGAATTAAATTACAAATTTTACAAATTTTACAAATTTTACAAATTTTACAAATTTTACAAATTAATTTGCAAAATTTGTAGAATATCAAAAAAATCTGGCCCAAAATTACAAATTTTACAAATTTTACAAATTCTAGTCTGAGAAATTAGCTTCCAGGGGAATTTGGTAGGAATTAAATTACAAATTTTACAAATTTTACAAATTTTACAAACTTTACAAATTTTACAAATTTTACAAATTTTACAAATTTTACAAATTAAAAAAAATCTGGCCCAAAATTACAATTTTTACAAATTTTACAAATTAATTTGTAAAATTTGTAGAATATCAAAAAAATCTGGCCCAAAATTACAAATTTTACAAATTCTAGTCTGAGAAATTAGCGTCCAGGGGAATTTGGTAGGAATTAAATTACAAATTTTACAAATTTCACAAATTTTGCAAATTAATTTGAAAAATTTATAAAATATCACAAAAATCTGGCCCAAAATTACAAATTTTACAAATTTTACAAATTCTAGTCTGAGAAATTGGCTTCCATGGGGAATTTGGTAGGAATTAAATTACAAATTTTACAAATTTTACAAATTTTACAAATTTTACAAATTAATTTGTAAAATTTGTACAATATCAAAAAAAACTGTCCCAAAAATACAAATTTTACAAATTTTACAAATTCTAGTCTGAGAAATTAGCTTCCAGGGGAATTTGGTAGGAATTAAATTACAAATTTTACAAATTTTACAAATTTTACAAATTTTACAAATTTTACAAATTAATTTGTAAAATTTGTAAAATATCAAAAAAATCTGGCCCAAAATTACAAATTTTACAAATTTTACAAATTGATTTGTAAAATTTGTAAAATATCAAAAAAAATCTGGCCAAAAATTTCAAATTTTACAAATTTTACAAATTCTAGTCTGAGAAATTAGCTTCCAGGTGAATTTGATAGGAATTAAATTACATTTTACAAATTTTACAAATTTTGTAAAATTTGTAAAATATCAAAAACATCTGGCCCAAAATTACAAATTTTACAAATTTTACAAATTAATTTGTAAAATTTGTAAAATATCAAAAAAATCTGGCCCAAAATTACAAATTTTACAAATTATACAAATTAATTTGTAAAATTTGTACAATTTGTAATTTAATTCCTACCAAATTCCCCTGGAAGCTAATTTCTCAGACTAGAATTTGTAAAATTTGTAAAATTTGGAATTTGGGGCCAGATTTTTTTGATATTTTACAAATTTTACAAATTAATTTATAAAATTTGTAATTTTGGGCCAGATTTTTTGATATTTTACAAATTGTACAAATTAATTTGTAAAATTTGTAAAATTTGTAAAATTGGTAAAATTTGTAAAATTTGCAATTTAATTCCTACCAAATTCCCCTGGAAGCTAATTTCTCAGACTAGAATTTATAAAATTTGTAAAATTTGTAATTTTGGGCCATATTTTTTTGATATTTTACAAATTTTACAAATTAATTTGTAAAATTTGTAAAATTTGTAAAATTTGTAATTTAATTCCTACCAAATTCCCCTGGAAGCTAATTTCTCAGACTAGAACTTGTAAAATTTGCAAAATTTGTAATTTTGGGCCAGATTTTTTTGATATTTTACAAATTTTACAAATTAATTTGTAAAATTTGTAAAATTTGTAAAATTTGTAAAATTTGTAAAATTTGTAATTTAATTCCTACCAAATTCCCCTGGAAGCTAATTTCTCAGACTAGAATTTGTAAAATTTGTAAAAATTGAAATTTTGGGCCAGATTTTTTTGATATTTTACAAATTTTACAAATTAATTTGTAAAATTTGTAATTTTGGGCCAGATTTTTTTGATATTTTACAAATTAATTTGTAAAATTTGTAAAATTTGTAAAATTTGTAAAATTTGTAGTTTAATTCCTACCAAATTCCCCTGGAAGCTAATTTCTCAGACTAGAATTTGTAAAAACTGTAATTTTGGGCCATATGTTTTTGATATTTTACAAATTTTACAAATTAATTTGTAAAATTTGTAAAATTTGTAATTTTGGGCCAGATGTTTTTGATATTTTACAAATTGTACAAATTAATTTGTAAAATTTGTAAAATTTGTAAAATTGGTAAAATTTGTAATTTAATTCCTATCAAATTCCCCTGGAAGCTAATTTCTCAGACTAGAATTTGTAAAATTTGTAAAATTTGTAATTTTGGGCCATATTTTTTTGATATTTTAAAAATTTGGAATTTAATTCCTACCAAATTCCTCTGGAAGCTAATTTCTCAGACTAGAATTTGTAAAATTTGTAAAATTTGTAATTTTGGGCCAGATTTTTTTGATATTTTACAAATTTTACAAATTAATTTGTAAAATTTGTAAAATTTGTAATTTTGGGCCAGATTTTTTCAAATTAATTTGTAAAATTTGTAAAATTTGTAAAATTTGTAAAATTTGAAATTTAATTCCTACCAAATTCCCCTGGAAGCTAATTTCTCAGACTAGAATTTGTAAGGTTTGTAAAATTTGTAGTTTTGGGCCAGATTTTTTTGATATTTTACAAATTTTACAAATTAATTTGTAAAATTTGTAAAATTGGTAATTTTGGGCCAGATTTTTTCAAATTAATTTGTAAAATTTGTAAAATTTGTAAAATTTAATTCCTACCAAATTCCCCTGGAAGCTAATTTCTCAGACTAGAATTTGTAAAATTTGTAAAATTTGTAGTTTTGGGCCAGATTTTTTTGATATTTTACAAATTTTACAAATTAATTTGTAAAATTTGTAAAATTGGTAATTTTGGGCCAGATTTTTTTGATATTTTACAAATTTTACAAATTAATTTGTAAAATTTGTAAAATTTGTAAAATTTGTAATTTAATTCCTACCAAATTCCCCTGGAAGCTAATTTCTCAGACTAGAATTTGTAAAATTTGTAAAATTTGTAATTTTGGGCCAGATTTTTTTTGATATTTTACAAATTTTACAAATTAATTTGTAAAATTTATAAAATTTGTAAAATTTGAAAAAATTTGTAATTTAAGTCCTACCAAATTCCCCTGGAAGCTAATTTCTCAGACTAGAATTTGTAAAATTTGTAAAATTTGTAATTTTGGGCCATTTTTTTGATGTTTTACAAATTTTACAAATTAATTTGTAAAATTTGTAAAATTTGTAAAATTTGTAAAATTTGTAATTTTGGGCCAGGTTTTTTTTGATATTTCACAAATTTTGCAAATTCATTTGTAAAATCTGGAAATTTCATTTTTTACACATGTACTTGCGACATTTTGTGAAATGCTTAATTGTTAACCATATTTGTTGGAATTTGGCATAGTTCAGAAACTAATCTGCAAAATGTGTATAACTTGTAATGTAACTCCAGCCAAATCTCCCCGGAAAGCAAATTCCCCAGAGTACGTTTCAATGTCAGCAAACATCCGATTTAGAATTACAAGCTGGATTTGAACAAACATTGCTCGGGGGTTGCAAATTGCACAAGCTAGTTTGTAAAAAGTCGGTCCAGAATTACACAAATTACAAGTAAAGGTGTGAACATTGTAAACTTGATAAAACTTGATCACCGTCCTTCCCTTAACGGCTTTTTTTGGGTCAAGTTTGTTTCATTTTGAATCGGTTGAAGTTTGGTAAGGAAATGGGGAGGAAAGCATATTATCTTTTCATTTGGAATCTCTCTTTTCTGTTATTTCCATGTGTTTGTTTTTCTTTAGGATCTCGAATTCATACTCCTTTCTTTATCTTTCACTCTCTCCCCTGACCATTTCTTCCTACAATCAACTCAATAAACTAGGATGGAAAAGACAGGGATAAAGAAATAAACATAAGATAGGTAAAGGAGAGAGGACATCTTCTGCAACACGCTTCTTTTGGATAACTTTCATACCACACATACCTGATGGAGAAAGAGATGGAGAAAACCGTACAAATAGAAAGACATGGAAAGGCGACTGGGATTGTGGGATGGATTCATTTGTATCTCAGAGATTTTATCGCATACCAGGTTAGACCAATCGATGAAGGTAAGGGAAAGGGAAAGGTGTGAAAGAACAAAGAATGATTAAGAAAATCTTCCGCCCAGACATCACGCAGAATACACCAGATAGCCTGTCCGTGAGACTTGGAGGATATGATGATTGAAGATTCCCTCACTATCCCTTTCCAGCCTGTCTTTGGGGCCTCTTCCAAATCATTGCCTGCTTCCTCTTGTCCATCCATCCTCATCCTTTATTTGCATTTATGGATGGGCAAGAAGTGACGAAAGCATTTGCAGGCAGTAATAATTACGGTAGAAAACGTAATATCCTCCCTTTCTTTTCAAAATCCTGTTTTATACAAGCTAACAACATAAAAAGGGCGCGAGACAGTTATGACAAAGCTAAAGATAATTATGGGTGGTGCTTACAGAAGCTATCTAATTTATTGCGTGCTAATACATGCTTCTAATCTTAAAACCATACTTACATTCCTCGTTCTTTTCTATTTTATTCTTCCCTTGTTGAGATTCATTGCGCTATCTTTCTTTGTGAATGCTTTTGGCTGTCCGGTCGTCGCTGGGGCTCACCGAAAGGAAAGAAGAGATTATGAGTAGGTCTTACTCATATTATTTTGCTTGTGTTTTACTATCTTTTGGACCTTTCATCCTTCCCCTTCTTCTGTTTCCCTTTTCAACCGTTGAAGAATGCCAGAAATCGAGGGGTGAAGGAAGGAGGGAGAAGCTAGCCCCCCCGTTCCTTCTTCTCCAACTGTATCGCTAGTGGGGAGAAGATAGGAAGGAGATCAACCGTTCCATCTTTACCTTTCCCTTCCCCACTACGTTCTGGAGTTCTGTCACTACGAAAGACTCACGATGGAACAGTCTAAAAGTGGGACGAAGGAAGGGGATATTGGCTTTATTTTTGGTTTATTTGTAGAAAAAGAAAGCCACTTTCCACAACCCGCTTCTTTCTGTAAAAAAACAGATGGAAGAAGATGACCTTTCCTTTCCCGGCCCAGCCAACGCTTGTCATTTTCCTTGCCTTGTCTTTTACATTGCCATGTTTTGGAAATGAAGAAGTAAAGCGTCTGGCAAGGAGGTAAGCGCCCATCAATACTAATTGAAGATACCGAATTGGATGGGCACTTACCATGTCTTTCCATCACTTCTTTCTTTCCTTTTGATGAAATTGAAGATTGAAAATGGGAAGTGAGAAGCCTCTCTTGACTTCTTCCTCAAGCACAGGCTGCTGTTAATCTTATGCCGTGTGATGCTTGGGAAGAAGAAGAAGAAGAGAAGATAGGAGAGGGTGAACAGAAGTAACGTGATTCTTTCTTTTCCTCCGATCGCATCCTGATTTTCCCATGTATGTCACCCACCAAAATCTTCAACCCATAAAGATTTGACTACAGAATCCTTAAAACCTTTTTAATAGCAAATGCTAGCGGTCTCTCTCTTTTGCTAATAATCTTCTGGAAATGAAAGGACAATAATAGAGTTTTAGATCATAGGATGGTGTAAGGACTGGGTTCTTCTCATCGTTGACGTCCTTCCTTGTTCAAGTCACGGAGGAAGAGAGGTTGGTTTGTGGTCCCAAGAGCTTGTATCCTTCCCTTTCTATCTCTTCCACTTCATCCAGGAAACATTTGTGGATGGACATGTCGTTATTAAGATCATTGCCTTTCGGTTTACCATCCCATTTATTGCTTGAATGTCTATCTTTGTTGTCTTCCATTTACAATATTATCTGAGAAGTATAGAAATGCTTCTGGGTGTGAGGTTGAAAAAATTGGCGATGTAAAGAAAATCACGATGGTTGGAACAGAAAGTTAATCATTACCAAGAATAGGTTCATAGTCTCTCATCTGCTGGTTGCATTCTCATGTACTTGTTCACTTTGCAACCTTTCTACTTGTTTATCTATCTTCCCAATCTCTCTTTCTCTCTCTCGCATTGTAAACGTTGGAGGCATCTGGATGGGGGAAAAAAACCCGGGGGGTAATAACAAATATGAAGAAGAGGAACTGGCTAACACTCCTTCTGCTCTCCCGTCTTTCGCGGCTGTCAGGATTAGTAAGAATTACGAAAAAGGCCTATGAAGAAACATAATAGATACATAAATAAATAAATCAATAGGCAAATGACAGAACCAAGAACATGAAAGTAATAAAGAATGTTAATAAATGAAACGGTCTATTGGGAGACAAATTATTCTTGTCCATCAAGAACCCTCTCCAACACAGTGAAAAACCTAGAGTGGACAATGATGGATATGATAGAAAACGCAATAAGATAATAAAACGCAGTAAGCTATGAGATTACAACGATTCTGTAATTATTGCCTTTAAATTCACCCCGTGACCACTTCATCCCATTTACACAAATATATTGGAGAAGATATTAGTGCATGATGAAGAATAAACACAAATTATAACCATAGATAGTTTGCTTGACTCTGAAGAGGCTGTTGGTCTTTACTCATGGAGTTTATTTAGTTGTATCTTCTTTCTGCTTTTGTTCTATTAGAATTTCCTTGCAAAATCTCTCACTCACTTCCTATTGTATCATTAGATATGTGCAATATTCTTGAGTTTTAGGTGAGAATGAAAAGGATATTAATAGTTCAAGTTGCTGGAGAAGGACGGAACACTATTTACGAAAGGCTATTTATTTACTAGAATCTCATGAGTAATGTTAACTAATTTGTATCGATTGGGGTTTATTTCTCACCTTCTCTTTTTAAGGGGTTTCCTTTTGCCTCCCTTCATCGCTAGAAGTGACCGAAGGAAGTTAATAGTTTTCTCATCAGAATATTGCCTGTCCAAATAGAGTGATGAATGAAGAGACGCTTAACTGTTATTATTGCTTAAGTGACGTCTCACGGACAGGCTACGTCTCCAGACCCTTTTTATATCTCTCTGATTGTTCTTTCCTTTTATGTTTATTTGACCAGCATTTGTTTACTATTTACTTCTTCCTCACTGACATTCGATCTTCTCTAACTCTGTTATCTGTTACTGTGGCTTTAATCATTTGATTAACATTTTCCTCTTTCCATTTCCATGCTCTATCTTGGTGAGCTAGCAAACGTTTAATTTAGAAAAAATATGGAAGTGATAGATAGGAGGACATCATTATTTGTTTCTATTAATACTACTTCACGAAGGTATACCGTGTGCTTTTATCACACTCTCTCACAACCAAAGAGAGGATGTTCATCTGGTCTTCATCACCCCTCACCCTTTTTTCTATTACTACAAACTAGCTGGTTCTTTCAGGGTGGGGCATGCCAAGACATTCCTTTCTACTCTTGGGATTGCACCAAAAGAGTCCATGTGCAACAATGAGCCGTTCTGCTCTTGAAGGCGCGCGGCGGCACATTGTACGTAATCTTCCCTGCCACGGGGGGGGGGTTGTGGTCGTTTAGGGACACCAAAAAGGACGCCTCGAGCCCTTTGACCACAAGACCACCCCCCAGCGAGCCGAGCTGAGGGCCACCAGCGTAGTGCACTTCCAGACCGGCGAGGCCAGGAAACTCCTCGGACGGATTATTCGGACGGCCTGTGGAAGAAAAGCCACTTGGCTGTGGGTCCAAATAGGTATCCCAAAATGGAACCCTGGAAAATGGAAACATGAACTAAATCCTACGGTCCACATCGTTTAATTTTGACCCATACCCTTTTGGAGGATTTTATGCCACATACCCGCTTGCTTCTGTCTTGTGTGTGTGTCTAGGGAAAACACTCCATCAGACACCTGCTCGATTTGGGTGTCCAAACTGGGAAGCCTCTTGGGGACGGATAACAATGAGACCTCAATGACACCAACCATTGGCTACTTAGTTTGGGCGCGTACCTGTTGCGTGGGCCCAAACATACGCCCCTCACCCCTCCGCCTGCATCTGGCGTTGTGCTCGTCGTGCTTCGCTTTGCACTCCGGCGTCTTGCATTCAGGTGCTTGGCAAGGCACGTCCGCCTCAGGCGCCACACCAACGGCTGGCGCCCCTCCGCCACTCAGGCGGATCTAGCAGAAAGGTTAGTCGTCGGGGTCAGGATCCGCATAGACATTCATTCATCCGACACCGTGCAATGAGACGTCGGTGGACTTGCGCGGATTGAGGAATGCAATTACTATGCAGGTAACAAGAAGCACGAGGATATTTGCCAAAACTCTTTGCTCTTGAGGTGAGTCTGAGTGCACTGCAGGGGCGACGGATACCTTTCCCGGGGCCGCCTGCAGCCCATGTACCATCCAAATCAAGGCATGTAGCGAAGAAGCGGAGTATGTAATAAAATAAACTTGTGGTCCTGTTTCGTGCCCCTCAATGAATGTCCCGATAAGCATGGTGAAAAAGAATGGTCACGCGGCACCGTTCCGCTACATATTGGTCGTCCTTTTGTCCACACAACTGCCCAACCCCGTCCCAAAACATTGGAGTACGCCGCTACATGTCACCCCTCGGTAGGCCTCGCCCTCCTCACTCACTTGGCCTGGGCGCAAAGCCCGTTTTCCGCGGATGGCCAAGGCTTGGCCGATCTGCCGTCGAGAAACGTCCCAGGTCATGTCAACACCGGTGCCCGTCTCGGGAGATCCAGAAAAGCATGATTTGAAGGATGAGACCATGAGGCATCCCTGGAAAACGAGAGGAATTCGACGCCAGCAAACTCTTCGCATTTGTTTTAGATGATAGTTTGTTTGACCCCAAGTGCGGCATTTTGATGATGTGTCAAAGCTAGGGACTCCTTTCAGCCTTTCAGCAACCGCAAATGGTTGCTCATGCGAGGCTCAGAAAGTCAAAACCAGAGACCCCTCCAAACTCCCCTCCAAACTCCCAACGACTTCCTACAAGTCTAGGTAACAAATAACTCCTGTGCTCGGCGGATGTGCCTTTTTGTTGGATTTGGACTCCCAAAATCCTGGTTTTCTCTAAAAAAGGGATACCCTCAGAAAGCGGAGGGATGCATCCAGATGCAGTCCTTCAGCTCCTGGACCCCTAGGGCCCGCGCCGCTGGTCGCCTCTCGCTGCCGCAGAGTCATGGCACCCGAAGCTCGCTGAACGAGTGCTGCAGGATGATCCAAAGATGGGGTGCTTTTGTTGGGACAAAAGTAACCAAAGAGCAAAACCAATGTGGACTCTCAGAAGAAATGCTTCTACATTTCGTCCGACTTGTCCAAATGGGATTCTGTCAAGCATTCTGGCTGTCTCGACCCTCTTGCTTACTGCACGGCTTGGATTATTCTGTCAGGGACAAACTGAATCTCGCACGTACTTCAGACTTCTAGATGCTCCCTCTGCATGGCACACATGCACTCAGAGCTCATGGTTGCTTTGTCCTTTTCCCAAGTTGGCTCATGGTTGCCGTTCGCTGGTGACTGAGCGCTCGCTTGAAGCCACCCTTTCAGCCTACGGGTCCAGTGTCAGGCGACAGCTCCGAAGTTCGACCATGCAACTCACGGGCTCAAAGCAAAACGGAAGAAAATCTCCGCCACCTTCCCATGGTGGAAACTTGCTTATGGCGCCTAGTTGCAAGAAAAAAAGGTGGTATGTCCAGCATAATTGTCCTGATGATCCGGCTCGACACACACGAAGGTCAGTCCATCGCAAACAGAGATGCCCCGTGCATGCGACGCCGTGGCTTTTTGCTTGCCGCGCGATTCACTACTCGGGAGTTCCATTTGAGGATCCCCGTCAGCCAATGAGTATCGCAGCGGCACCCCTGGCATCGATGCTTGACAAGCTCCCAAAACTCGCGCGTGGAGCACATTGGATATACCGAGCCCCGTGTTCCGACTTCTTCAGGAGAATCCTGGCACAGCTGTTGTGCATACCCCAACCAACCCTTTGATTCGATGCAGATTCTGCTGGAAATCTGGAATCCAGGTCCGCTAAACCCCTCTGCCATCAGACTGGTCTTTGGGTCAAACACAATCCCCCAAAACCCAACGCTGTTGTGTTCAGACCTCGTCCAAGCCCCGCATTAAGGAATTGGAAAATGAAACCGCATTTGACCCAAGTAAGGCAAATAAATTGGGTTCCGGCCCCTTTCCCTTCCACAAAGAGAAGTAATTGACAATTGAGCTCGTCATTGTTCGATCTCTGACTATAGATATGACTAGCGTGAACCCTTCAACCAATTTTTTGTTTTAACCTTTGGCTTCCTTTTGGCTTCCCTCTCAAAACTCGGGACAAGTGCACTGACCAAAAAAAAACAGAGGCCCCCACGCACCCACCCGTATGGCCATGACTTTTGCTGGGAACCACCATCCAAACTGGCCGGTGGACATGCATTCCCACATCCATGATGTCCAAAGGAACAAATCATCTCCAGCATGCATGTCAAAAAAGAAAATCGCACTTAGCACCCAAAAAATATATATTAATCAAATAGTTGACTTCGCTTTTTTGGGTTTCCTTTTTAACTTTGTGGACTCAAAAGGGACTCAAAGGGACTCAAAGGGACTCAAAGGGACTCAACGGGACTCAAAGGGACTCAAAGGGACTCAAAGGGACTCAAAGGGACTCAAAGGGACTCGAAGGGACTCAAAGGGACTCAAAGGGACTCAAAGGGACTCAAAGCGACTGAAAGGGACTCAAAGGGACTGAAAGGGACACAAAGGGCTCAAAGGACTCAAAGAGACTCAAGGGACTCAAGTGACTCAAAGGGACTCAAAGGACTCCAAAGGGAACTCAAAGGACTCAAAGGGACACCAAAGGACTGAAAGGACGTCAAAGGACTCAAAGGGAACTCAAAGGACTCAAAGGACTCAAAGGGACTCAAAGAGACTCAAAGGACTCAAAGGAACTCAAAGGACTCAATATTTCTCAAAGGGACGACAAAGGGGAAAGGGACTCAAAGCGACTGAAAGGGACTCAAGGGACTGAAGGACTCAATGGACTCAGAAGGACTCAACAGGACTCAAAGGGACTCAGCCGAAGTCAAAGGGATCTCAAAGGGAAGAAAGGGAACTCAAAGGACTCAAAGGGACTCAAGGGACTCAAAGGACTCAAAGGGACTCAAAGGGACTCAAGGGACTCAGAGGGACGGCAAAGAGACTCAAAGAGACTCAAAGGGACTCAAAGGGACTCAAAGGGACTCAAAGGGACTCAAAGGGACTCAAAGGGACTCAAAGGGACTCAAAGGGACTCAAAGGGACTCAAAGGGACTCGACTCAAAGGGACTCAAAGGGACTCAAAGGGACTCAAAGGGACTCAAAGGGACTCAAAGGGACTCAAAGGGACTCAAAGGGACTCAGAGGGACTCAAAGAGACTCAAAGAGACTCAAAGAGACTCAAAGGGACTCAAAGGGACTCAAAGGGACTCAAAGAGACTCAAAGGGACTCAAAGGGACTCAAAGGGACTCAACGGGACTCAAAGGGACTCAAAGGGACTCAAAGGGACTCAAAGGGACTCAAAGGGACTCAAAGGGACTCAAAGGGACTCAAAGGGACTCAAAGCAAAGGGACTCAAAGGGACTCAAAGGGACTGAAAGGGACTGAAAGGGACTCAAAGGGACTCAAAGGGACTCAAAGGGACTCAAAGAGACTCAAAGGGACTCAAAGGGACTCGACTCAAAGGGACTCAAAGGGACTCAAAGGGACTCAAAGGGACTCAAAGGGACTCAAAGGACTCAAAGGGACTGAAAGGGACTCAAAGGGACTCAAAGGGACTAAAGAGACTCAAAGGGACTCAAAGGGACTCAAAGGGACTCAAAGGGACTCAAAGCGACTGAAAGGGACTCAAAGGGACTGAAAGGGACTAAAGAGACTCAAAGGGACTCAAAGGGACTCAAAGGGACTCAAAGCGACTCAAAGGGACTCAAAGAGACTCAAAGGGACTCAAAGGGACACAAAGGGACTCAAAGGGACTCAAAGGGACTCAAAGGGACTCAAAGGACTGAAAGGACTCAAAGGGACTTCTAAGGGCTAAAGAGAGCTCAAAGGGACTCAAAGAGAACCAAAGGACTCAAAGGACTCAAAGCGACTGAAAGGGACTCAAAGCGACTGAAAGGGACTCAAAGGGACTGAAAGGGACTAAAGAGACTCAAAGGGACTCAAAGGGACTCAAAGGGACTCAAAGCGACTCAAAGGGACTCAAAGAGACTCAAAGGGACTCAAAGGGACACAAAGGGACTCAAAGGGACTCAAAGGGACTCAAAGGGACTCAAAGGGAGTGAAGAGACACTCTCTTTGAGTCCCTTTGAGTCCTTGTGTGTCCCTTTAACTCCCTCTCAACCAACCCTTCACTCCCTTTCACTCCCTTTCACTTCTTCTTTTTGTTGGGTTTCCCTTTCATACCAACCTGACAAAGGGGCAACTTCCACCCCGATTTCCAGATCCCCAGATCTTGCCGGCGTGCCTGTAGCGGGCCTGCGACATGCCCGGGAGCTGCTCCCACGCCTCGGCTCTTTCGAGGCGCGGCGGACTGGGGGACGGTAAAGGGAAGCCCCTTTTTGGGGGGGCAGCGGTTTCTGTTCTTTCTTTCTTTTTTTTTGTTTGGGGGGGGGGTTTGCTTGGGGGAGACGGTTCTGAGGTTTGCTTAAGCAAGAACAATTGGGCGTTTCCTTCGTTTAAAAAGAAATGAAAGCCCGACGCATTTTGGCGCCAAGCATCAAAGATTTTCAGCTGCCCCGATTTCAACTTTTAGGGTGGCCAAGGGCAATCAAAGAGGGTCGGGGAAGAGAACTGTCCGAAAGCCTCGGAAAAACGGGGGAGGGTCCAGGCCGAAAGGACTCAAGGGTCAGAATGTCTCAAGGACGCGCAATCCAAGGCCCAGGATCAATTGCAACGGTCAAAGTGGGATTTCGGCTCCGTCCCGTCAAACCAGAGCCCAATAAAGAATTTCCCCGAACCTAGATTCAGGGCTGTCAGCTAGTGAGAGTCCGCCAAACTTTACCAGTGATACCATGAGTCTAGCTGGAGTGTCAAGCAAGTTGGTTTCCAAAACATCCGGCTTCATGGCTTGTCAGACAAGGTGGGCCGGATCGGAGTAGATGGCACGAGAGAAATGATGAAAATTTAGAACCAAATCGAAACCGGTGCCATGAATGTTCCGCGAAGTTAACCTAAAAGGACAACTATGCCTCTTGGTGGATGGTTTCAAAGGGAAATGACAAAGCAAGCCCACCATCCTCCCCCCCCCCTCCCCGCTCCCCCCGCCTTTTTGGGAAACACGCACATGGGTCTCTGCATCCGCTGGATGACCACTTCTCCCCGAAACCCGAACGGCACGACGACGGTGGGCGCCTTTTCCTCTGGCGGAACATGCATCGAATTGTCTCGTTTGAGGCACGGCCGTCTCGCTCCAGATCTCTCTCACTTCGGGAAGTGAAAATCCTGGGCCTGGGAGCGTGAATGGGGCTTCAAGGTGCACGGCTATGCAAGCAGGAAAGTTGTTGGACGTTTTCGAACTTGGAGGAGTCCCATCGCGTGCCAAACTGTTCCTCGCCTGTACAACTAGAACTTTTCAAATGCTCTTTCCCACGTGCCAAATCCTTCCAGCCACTATCTGCGCAACTACCCTTTTTCCAACCTGAACAAAAGGCTATCGTGATAATCCCAGAAACTTCTACACGTTTTTCTCGAGCGACCAAACCTTAGGACTCAACATGCAAACTGAATTCACTAAGGAAACCACTAAAATACCCACGCCTTTCCAAGCAAAACCGTGGGAAGCGTGTGAAAGAAATAGTCCGATCTCACATCGCTGGCCTTATTTCCGGCGAGCGTGGTTTGCACATGCCGGCCGGTGCCATACAGTAAGCCAAGGAGCATTGACGCTGTAAGTGGTTAGTAAGCCTGGTTATAACCACTTGCCATGGAAAAATATTAAAAAAAAAAAAAAAAAAAAAAAAAAAAAACATGGTGATAGATTCCCTTTAAAACCAACAGGAGGAAGAAACAAAAACTTGAGCAAATGGAAGACTTATTCCAACGCCTGCACCGCGCGAGAAAAGAAACACTTTCACCGGAGCCGGGCGCCCGGGCCGCTGCCTCGGAGCGCAGCTGCTGCGCCAGCTGCATCAGAGGGTCCTCTCACGAGAAAGTGGCCAGGGCGTTGGCTGGTTCTGCAAAAAGAAACAAACCAGGTTAGTTTCATTGGGGGGTGCTTTTCCCTGGATGAAATCTGGCCCCTATCAATAAACTGGGGTTTGTTGATATGGGGTCAACAGTACGCTTCATGGGTTGAACACTAATTCATACATTACACCTAATTGAGTCAACCATGGAGTATGCCATGAACTATCTATTTGTTGTGGGACAGGCGAGGAATCAAACAAATCCCGAAACGTGGGGAAATTCGACATAACCTGGCGCGCCACGTCGAGCTGACTTGGGGGGGGCCTGTCGCTGGGGTGAACCGGCGTGCTTTGCTGGAGGCCAAATACGCCGGTAGCAGGCAGCTGGCCAGGACAAGCAAAAAAGCAGGGCAAAAGGGCTGCGAGTGGGCAGAAGCAGCAATGCACGGTGGGAGGGAGGCGAGCACAAGCCGCACCCAACACACAGCCAGCGAGCCAGCCAAGGCAGGCAGCAAGGCAGGCGGGCAGGCAGGCAAACAGTCAAAGTGAACTTGCCAACACCACGTTGGCAGCAGTTGCTGCATGACAAATTCTTTGAATACATCCAAAACGTGACACCACAGCAGACGCATTTCAAATCCTTTCTCTCCAACCCAGCCACTTCCAGCTCATTCGCTTCCAAATCTCGAATTGCAGCAAAGAACCAAATAAAAAACATCCCAAAGTCCAAAACGAGAGCCGGCAACTCTGCCCCAAGGCGCCTGCGCCGCCCGCGCTGCAAAGGGCCCCGCGGCGGCAGACAGCCCCGCGGGCCCCGCGGGCCCCGCGGGCGCGGGCCCCGCGCCAGGCGCACTGGGCCTCGGGCCAGCGGCGCGCATGGGCCAAATCCCAAGAAAATCCATTGGCATGGGGAAGCATCCGATTCCTGGGGCTCTGAACGGAGGTCTCCATCAGTATCTACCATCCGGAGAAGCTCCCCACCAAAGCTCGCGACTCTCGCTCTCATGGGGGTGACTGGATGCGACTCCGTCGATCCAGCAACCCTACCCTACGAAGCCATCGGGACCACACAGAGAGGGACGATGCAGCCAAGGGGCACCTCTCAAGCAAAAGTCAGCTCCTTGCCTTTCCAGCCGAACCAAGGTGACGGTCTGCTTCAACTTGCAGCCTGCTGAACAGTTCATCTCATGGGTTTGCGACTGTGCATATCCTAATTGTTTAACTGGACTCCTCTGCCGTTTTGGCCTCAGGGCATTGCACACTTAGGAGCTCTAGCACCTGTGGGTTCCTGGTAACCTGCTGCCGACTCCCCGACTCCCCCAGGCCGCCGCACGGAACGCACGGGGCAGCCTCGCGCAGCGGCGCCGGCGCCGGCGCCGGCGCCGGGGCAGTGGCCCTGGCCCCGGCCGGGCGCCGCGCCTAACATGACAACTAGCTCCGTTCTGATGGACGAAATCCATAAACCGCACCGAAGAACCCATGGTTGAAACCACTACCGGTTGGCATTCACAGGGGAATCAAAGCATTCCAGGGTTTCTGGTGCGAACGGAGTTCGTCCGTCCACAGTCAACTGGCCTCTCGAAATCAAGCACTCGCCCAGGTAGAGGTGGGGTACATGTTCTTTTGACACCACAACATTGCTTGTAGCCAAGAACGCTGGACATCAGGGCCGTATTGAGACATGAGGGCCTTTTTGACACTGGCCATTCTGGGCACATTCGTATCTGAGCCTTCCAATTACCAGAACATGGGGGTTGCTCCTTTTGGTTTTAAAAGTTGGTTTAAGGTTGGTTTTGGGCCGGTTTAAGGTTGGTTCAGGCTTGGTTTAAGATCGGTGTAGACTTGGTTTGGGGGTCTTGGGTGGATTTAGCGGGTGTTGGGTTTTGGGTTCGTTTAGGGCAGGCTTAGGGTGGCTTGAGGGTTTTGGGTTGGAAGCCCATTAGACAAGGATCCTTTGTCCACGAGCAGCCTGCGCAGCCCCTTCCGCCAGACGGAAAGGATATGACAAAAACCAAAAAAAGAATGGGACATGTCAAGGACCAAAGGCTCAAAAAGGGAAAATGTCAAACAAAAGAATGGCTGCATGACAGCAAAAGATGGTTCCTGAGCGAAGGTGGTGGTTGCAGTTGGTCACATCCTTCTCACTCTCAAGGACCGGGTGCTCACACCAACATCATTGGCCGAACATCAATTCTGACCCAAAAGCTCCATGGAATGAAAACTGCGCTCAGTTGACTCCGCACTCCCCGTGCGCAAGCGTGGGCCAAAAACCGAACTTGCTCCAAGCACACTACCCCAAACAAACTATTTCAAACAAACATACCCGAGATAGGTTCGAAAAAGAAAAACAAAATCAACCACCCCGCCCCCCTCCCCCCGGCACCCCACCCCCAGCATCCGCCTGACCCATGATCACTGCCTGACGCAGTGCCACGGCCTGGGAACGAGTGACAACGAACTGCTTCAAAGCGCCAAAGGCTGTGTGCGCATGTGATACATGTACATGGGCATACACAAACATAGGAATTACAATAAAATATGTATACAGGTGTATCTATATATAGCTGCAGTGGTATTTACGACGTAGTTTGCGATTTGCTCACCGGTTTCCCAGTCTCAAAATGCTTATGCGTTCTCTTGTTATGGATTGTGTTGACTGATTTTTGCTTATATAATCTCCTCACTAAAACACATCAAGTTGTTTACCCACCAAAATCCACATTTCCGGCGTTACTTGGTTCCGAGAAGTCTCCTCCTGTCTGGTGTTACTTGGTTTCAAGAAGTCTCCAGATGTTGGCAATACTGACAATACTATGGCGGAGATGCTTGGCTGTTTGATGTGTTGTTGCTATTGTGGTTGTTGTTTATTCCAAGTTGACTCTCAGAATTGAAAGTTTGTATCAAAGTGTTGTGCAACACTTGCGAAGCGTTTCGCAACATTCTTGCTGGGAATGAGAAAAACTAAAAGCGAAAAGAACAATCCTGACCCTACCATGTCTGGGATGTTTTGTTTAATCTGTTTAATCCATTCGTTGTGGTTTTTGTGTCGGGGGGTGGTGTTGGGTACGGACTGGCTCTAGAAAGTCTCTGAAAAACACATATCAGACGTTTGCGCAACAATGAAAATTACTGCGCAACATTCCCACTGAACCTAAAGATCTAAAACAGCAAACTATATATCAAAGAGTGGCATTGTGCACCAAGTCCAAAAGCATTCCCTCGGACAATCTCGTTTGGTTGCCCTTGCTTGGCTTTAAGGCCCGTCTTGGGGGACAGCGTTTCAGTGTCAGTTTCAACTTGTCTGCCTTCACTTTGCTTTCTGGAACCAGCTTTTTTACCGTCTCCATGTGCACCCTATATCCACTATGTTGGAACCAGCTAGTCACAGCTACTTTATGCAAAAAGGCCAAAGGCGCGCAAACCAAAGTAGGTCTGAGGCCTCCTGATGTTGGGCCCATTGGATTTGTGATCAAAATGCGCAAGCGGGGCTGGCTGGTGTGTTGCGTAAACTAGTTTGTTGCTGTCGAACTGGTGAACTGTTTCTCCTTTGCCAAAGTGAGCTTCGATGTTGGACAAACTTTGGCAGTGGAAAACCTGTCAGGCCTGCATGGACCGCAGTCTGAGTCCTTCAGCAACCAGAGATTCGATCACCGAACCCATTTTGGTTTGCCGAGTGCAAGAGAAAAGTGGGTCTTGTCCTCACTGGCCAAAAACGCGGGAGGCCTGGCTTAGCTTCGAACGGGCAGAAAGCGGGCACTCTCAGAGCATCTGACAGAAAGACACCCCTTTGGGTTGGTTCTCAGAAAGGGAAGAGGCCGGACAGACTCGTTGCTCGACAGGAAGGCGAGATATGCGCGCCCCAACTTCCCGGTTCCAGGCCTCGTCTCTCAGCGCATCCAAGGTGTCTCCATGCGCCTCCTGGCCCAAGGCTCACCATTCGGTCTCAGGTCATCGTCTCAGTGGCAAAGAGACCAAAAAACAATCCTTGTGTTAGGCAAATGGTGCAAAGGGATCCTGGGATTGGCTCCATCTGCGGTTGATGAGTGAAAAGGGGGGTCCCTTTGGCAAGGGTGCCCCTCACTTTTGGGGCAACCCAAATCGATAAGCAACATCGCAGCAGGGCATCACGGTACCCTCCTGACTGGCCTGGCATTCCCAGGTGCTCTCGTCCGACACCACAACCATCAAACGAACAAATGGGCACATGAAGGATAGATCACACATGCGAACATGTCTGGTCTTCAAACGAAAACGGTGCATGTATCCAATCTTGACCGGCAATCTGGGTGCCATTCTTCGCCTCTCAACTCAGTAAGACATTCCACACCAGTTGGCCGAAGCTGTTTGTCCACGTCGTTTCGGTGTAATCCGCTTGGAGTGCCCTTTACGGGGTTAGCTTGGGAAGGGAAACCGAAGGCCGTGAGACCAACGAAGCCAACCGTCCTGCTGCCGTCTAAGCTGCAGCTCGAACCACAGCTCCCGCTGCCGCAGTTGTCTGACCACCTGGGCCAACGGAACTCGGGTGATGAGCATCCCACCTTGAGCACAAGTTGTGGAAACGAAGAGCCCCCGGTCCCTGTTAAAGGGACACCAAAAGGAGGTTGCTTTTGTAGGGTGTGTGAAGACAAATACACAGAGGCCATGTTCTGGGAAAGGCCCAAAGAAACCTCGAGATGGGACCTCCAAGACGAATCAGCTTCATCTGGCTTTCCAGCTCAAAACCAAAATCCAGCTCCCCTAATTTTGAGGGGCCAAATGATCTTTCATGTGAAAAGGAAATCAACTTGGGCGAAGCTTTTTGGATTGGTTTAGGGCCAATCCCATACATAGCTTCGGCCGCCTTCATTCTTGAATGGTTTGGGGTGCAGCAATTCTTAAGTCCGGGTTTTGATTGTGACTCGATTGGGTTCCCCCCTTGGCCCCCCGATCCACACGCCTCGCACTTCTGCCGCAACTCCTCCTCGAGGCCGGCCATTCGCTGGCGCTGCCCGGTCTCCTGGCCGAAAGTTTCGCAAAGGACACCTCCCGGAAACGGTCGTTTGGCTGTGGGTTAGCGCGGACGGCTTCTGAGTGGTGCGCGCACAGCGTGAGCGGTGCGGCGCAGCACTGTTCGAGTCCAGCTGCGTTGTGCAGCAACGAGGGGGGATGGGTGTAGACCCATCCGCCTTCGGAAGCATTCCACAGGCGTGGGCCCGAGATGTCCAAACTAAGTTACATGTCTGTGACAGACAGAATTGCAGCATATCGCTGCACCAACATTAACGACATCAGTCATAGTTGTAGACAGATGCACACAGAGCATGTTGCTCAAAAACAAGTCATTCCAAGTCCTGCCAAGCTGTGCGTAGGCAGGGACCAAGCGCTTTGCTACCCTGAAATGTAAAAAGTGGGAAAAGCACGGAGGTGCACCCGGGGGCTCAAGGTCTGGTGTAGGCCGCGAGGATGCTGCCAATTGTACGGTCCAGGAAGGAGCCAAGGGCAGAACTAGAACAGAACCTATCGGTCGGAAGCCGTGGTGGCCTCATGCCTAAGTGCGGCAAGCTTGCGCTTGCGTTCCATGGTTGTGCCTTGTAGTTGAAGTTGGCGGCAGCGAAAGTGCTGCCGTAGCCACAATCGAGTTGCGCAGAGTCTGTGCGAAGCGCCACCCCGTTGTTGCCACGATGTCGCCAGCAATGAGTAGGGCTCCACGACCTGATGCTCCCAGCTTCGTCAAGGAGTTCCACACGCAAGTGAGAAGACGAGTGCTTCCGCGCCGATGCAGCGAAAATCCACCAGAGCTGCAGCGAATCACTGTTCAACTGGACCTTGGAGACGAAGTCTCTGACCAGGACAGAGAGCTGTATAGACACGAGGAACCCAAGGAAAAAGCACCATCCGTGAGCAATGACGATCCCAATGCAGCACCATCCAGCGAGAGGAGGGAAACGAAACATGGCGATTTCCATGGCGTAAGTCAAAGGAGCTCCCAAACATCAGCTGACACAGGTCCACCATCTGGTAGGATTTGGGCCGAGACCTTTTGGCTGTGGGTTAAAAATATGAATTCCAAAATGGCACCTTGGTAAATGGAACCAAAGACTAAAACCTGCGTAACCCTAGCTCTTGAATTTGAGCCACACCCATTTCGCCCCAAAATTTCCAAAAAAGGAACCCCGGAATCTCGACCACCCACCTGGCCAAGCGAAAAAGATGGGCCCTGTCCACGCGTTGTGGACCTGTTGGTTGAGAATTCAACTGGTCATACGCCGTGTTGCCAAACACTCAACTCCAAGTCCGAATGGAAACTAGAAGTGGTGGAGTAGTGTCACGGGTGCAGGCAACAGATATCGCACCTGTTGCCATAATGAACATCTGCACCTTCAGGTGAACATGCTCGGCCAATGTTTATCCCAACAATGCCATGGACAAACCAACGGTTGAGGGAGTATGAAAGTGGCGGCCCTCTGAGACTCTCTAAACATTTCCGCACCAAAGGAAACGGCCAGTGCCTCAAAACTGACAACCAACCCCCCATTAAAAAAAGAATAAGAAAAAAAATCTTGAAACACAAGCGAAACACAAGCTCCTGTAACCCGCGTTTTTGTTTGGTTGTCGGTCCCAAGAAAGTGAACAGGACCATCCCAAACGGGCCCCTTTGAGCCTTTGGCCAGCCTGGGGTTTGCAAACGCCAAGAGTCGCCAAAAGGCCAAACAAGTGGTCCTGCGCCGCACTTTGGCCGCGCTTGGCTTGCTCCTACACGTCAGAATGGCGGCATCGGACAGGGTGTCGGCTGGGAAACATTCCCCGTGATAACCAAAAGCCTCCGGTTTGTCCAAGCTGGGGCATGAAAGAACATCCAGAGAAAGCCCGCCCAGAACCAACCCCAAACCCAAAAGCCTGAACTTCCCACAGTTGACCATACGCAACGAAAAACCCAAACGCCATTGACCCTAACCAAAGTTAAATCCCTGAAAACAACTCACAACAAAGTAAACCTGAAATCCCAAGCTCGCTTGAAGAACAGTAACGTTGGTCTTTGTCCTGGAAAGAGAGAAGGAGACGTTCAGAATCCAACGAACACTCTCGGAGTCATGTGTTCAGAATGCACACGGAAAGGTTTCGAGGCTAGCTGGAAGCCTTAAAGCTTTGATCCTGAAGACCGGATGTCTTGAAACCACAAAACGCCAGCTCTGCTAGCTCGCGAATGCTCTTGCAGTCCTTCACCAGGGATTGGCACCTCCAAGAGGTGCTTATGATGGTGCCGGGACCAATCTACCAACCATTTTCGCATGTGTGGCAGGAGGCCCAAAAGTGTCCCCAGAGCCTCCCAAACATGCGGAAACGTATATGGGGACTTATGTCCATCAACCCTTTCCAAATTCCTGGCCCACCGACCCTACCGACCACAAAAAGGGGAACCGCTTTGACCCTCCTGCAGCGCGCCGAGCTCCGCTTGAAGACTGCGGTACTCCTGGCACTTCAAATCATTCGGCGACTTCCTGTGGTAGCCCCATCCACGCTAAAATCTGACGTTTCGGTATCCTGGAAGATTGTGATTCCTTTAAAAGGTAGTGTCAGAAGTGGACAGAAGAGTAGGTTCCAAACCCCATACTCCAATCAACACATGCCCAATCTCATCCCCGTGTAGCGGGCCGCCGGATTTCAGGTGCCTGACCAGGGCCCTTCCAAACATGGTTCCATTGGAAGGTATCCACCTGTCCATCCTGCCCGAGTGAAGAAACAAAGTCCAAGCGGGGCCCGCTCGGCCATTGGGCCCGTAATTTTGAGCAGTCGAATGGACCCGTGTTGACACGCGCTTTGATGTAAGCGGTAGTGTATGGCGCATGCAGCAATCGAACACCACATGTGCCGCCAGAAGCGTGTCTGATTTTTTGGAAACCCACATGGTGGATTTCCGGTTGGCTCTCATGTAAAGCCGCAAAAAAGCATCCTTAACAAAGGCACACCCATGTTTACATGTTACCAAGAAGCAAACATGGCATGAAGGTTGCAAGGAAGCCTTGGCCCTCTTGAGTTCCCTGCCCAGTACTCCCCTCTGAAGGCAGCTTCGCTTGGGTCAACGGTCCTCCTTTGTCCATTTCGAGTGACCACAAACATCACCTTCGAAGGTTTAAAATGAGCAGTTGAGAAACCCCGACCACAATGTGTCTTGCAGAGGGCAGCGCTTTTCTGGCACGACGACTTGTTTTTGAAGTTCTTCAGCTCGAGGATTTGGATTCTGACAACAAGAAAAGCATGATAACTCCCACAAATCGCGATCATTCTCCAAACCAAACACAGGGTGATTGCAAGTGTTTAGGGGGCGAATACCCACAATGAAGTGTCCGCCTCTGAGACGATACAATTTGTCCTTCAAGCAACACGGAGGAAAGTTGGAGTGGTAGAAACGACAAACTAAGCAAGCTCTTCACCTGTTAATTCGGTTACCTAAATCTCTGATCGTGCGAGTGCAAGCCTCTGCAGCTATCCTTCAAGCAGGCTGACTGAGTTTACTTGCAGAGCATCGCAAAATCCAGCGCTGTGGAATCTGGCTTCTACGCCCATTGCCCGCTACGAAAACTCTGCTCAATTCTACCGGAAGAGTGGCGCTTCGTACGTCTGGCACTATGTGCTGTGCGGAAAATTCCGAGGGTTCTGTTGAGAATGTCATGGCACGGACCAGGCATCCGTAATCTAGCCGAAGATGGTGCGTGCCCACCTCCAAAGCACTCCTAGTCCGATTGTTCCTCAAGCATCTGGTTGGTGGTCGGTAGAAACAGACAGAGTCTCCTTTTGGAAAACAAAGATGTCACTGGTAAACGAGTGGAAGCAAACCTACCCAACGCCATCTGGGAGTGTCGTTCTTTACGGGATTCCCAAAATTGTGTTTTTCCTCTTCGTTTCCCTTTAAACCCGCCCAAAAAAGAAGGTACCCCAGCAAAACAAAAGCAAAACGACCCATGGTCCACCAAACTTCAACCCTGGACCCGGATCAGCCTCATGCAGCGCCACCGGGTCGTCACAGCTGCCAGGCCCGCCTGTGTTCAACTCACCCATGGAAAGCCCTTGCTACATGATAGACTGCGAGTGGCATATGTCATGCATCACATCTAAAAGTCTAAGCATGTAACAGGAGACAAGACATCATGCCATCCTAGAGTAAACTGATATATCCGTTGGACTATGATGCGCCCCAAATTATGAGCCAACACTGGCACAAACCCACATGACAGGCAAAAAGGTGGGAATTTAAAGGTGTCTGAATTCGATCGTATGACTCGTCTACTGTAGACAACCCAATTGCAATCTATCAGTTTGTGAAAATCAGGACGTGTCATGGTTTCACCTGGACTTTGGCCCGAAACAGCATTCGTTCGCACTCGTGGTCCGAAGGCCCTGCCACCTGGGAAAAAACTCATGGCCTTTGCCTTGAACTTCAAGGAGCTTTTGGCACTGCACGGGAAAACCCATGGAATAAAACCAACTCTATCAACCGTCGCAAGAGGGAAAAAAGAAAAAAAAGTCGCGTGCACGGAAAGGCAAAACGACACCCCCTCGCCCGCTGGGGCATCGCTGCCACCGGGTTCCCTCCAAAGCAAAACATCAACTGACAAGCAAAGCTCACAGACCTCGAGAGATATCTAAAACCTTAAGTCCTGATCTGTGGTTTCTACCAGACAAACCTTAGGGGACCAAACAAAAAAACGCCCACCACCGCCGCTCTAGGCTTTTTTTTCCCGCTGAGGGGCGGGGGTTGCAGGCCCGAAGCTCTGCATCCCGCAGCTCCAGCTCCGTTTCCGCCTCCTGAACGAGACACCGAATGGGCACCCCCGATTGGTGGTTTGGGGATTTGAACCCCTGGTTCTTGTAGAGGGCAAATAGGGTTCCCCCTTAAGGTATCCTCACTCCCACTAACATGGCACCTGCCTGACTCCCTTGAAGAGGAAGTTGATCTTTCTACCCTCGCACAGATGCTGTGTTCGTTTGAGGGAGGGAAGAATTCCCCTCTAAATAAATCACAATCCCATTTGTTGAAAAGGTGTGTTCCAGCTGTGGATGATCGCGAAACCCATTTCGTGCCGTTCAGAAACCCTGGAAACTGATTCGATTCCCCTCATACCAACAAACCCCCATGGCTTCCAAGCACAGCGATCCGGAGTCCCAACTCATCAACGGGACATCCGGTTGTCAGTATCTACAGGGATCCTTACAGTATACACCTGAACATTGCCTTGTAAATAGTGGTGTCCCATTATTTTGGTGGAAAAAGCCATGTTTCAACTGGGCAAATTGCATCTTTTAAGGAGCCCTGATCTAGCAAACATCCACAAAAGACTTCACCACGTCCACCTGGGATGCGCCGAGCGCATCAAAATCTTGAAACACGACGCGAACGCACTTCCCGTGGCTGCGAAAAAGAAGATACCCAGCCATGGCGCGGCACATCATTCGTGCGATACCGCTGGGAAAGAGTCCTTCTACAGTGGAAATACATGGGCCCTCGCTGATTCTGTGTGCTGGCATTCCAATTTGTACCATAAATATATCAAGACTCTCAGCCTGACTCTTCCCCCACTCCATGCTCAGGATGACTTGGAGCCCCTGAACAGTCGGGGCACGGCGTTCTCCTTTTGGGACTCCAACGAGAACGACAACCGACACACCCAGCCTGCAACTCATGGCGCAGCACAGCCACATCGGCCATGGCGATTGGAGCTCGGATCCTGCGAGCCTTTGGTCCCTCCGCTTTTCAGAGTATCCACTACCTTGTTTTACAAAGCCCACATGTTGCGTGCGGGGAAGGGTGTCAAAGTGACACAAGGGCAAGTCAACATCTACGGATGAGCCGTTGGAACAATCGATCAGTGCTGCAGCTCTGAGCCTTTTGAAGACTGGCCAACTGAACGGTGACTTGAAGCGAGCTGGTTTGGGGGTGTGACTTCCAAAATGAACTGGAGGACGGTTTGAATAAAAGGGAGGTGCGATCCATTTGCCAACCACCCTGGTGCTTGAGCCCTGGCTTCGGGCGTGATTTCCAGCTTTGAAATGCTGTCCACACTGCCCCATGCCTGAGACTGAGCCCAACTCTCAAGCCCGAAACGAGTGCGAGGGAAATGAGAGGGCGCCCAAATGAAAACAAATTTGCGGCCTGGCCTTGAGTGGGCAACAGGGGAGAGTAACCTCTTGTTGCGCTGCAACACAAGCTGGCAATCGCATCGATGAGATGCACACAAAAAAAACTGACCGCTGCTTGTGACTCATTTCCAACCAGCGCTGAATCTTACCTCTACAAACAAGGCCCTTGGCGTCCCGATTCCAACTCTTAAGAAGATGAAACAACTGCCATCGGCCTGTCGCTTTACTTGGCTCGTGCAACCACGCAACCGCGTAATATCCAAATCCTGGTCGTTCAAGCAAATGCAATAAAACTGACCCTTTTAGAGTCGGTTCCGAGCTCGAAAACATAAGCAGCAAGAGTTTCGGAAATGCTCCTCGTTCCCTCCAAATTTGCTTGTCAATAGGTTTCTTGGACTGTTCCTCTTCACGAACCTACGAACCGGGACCCCGGCACGCAAAGTGACGTTGAAGCGCTCGGCAGAGTCCAGCGGGCCGGATTCATCGCTGCCTAGGCAACCCCAAACGTCCAATGTCTTCGCAAGCTTGTTCACATCCAGAACTTGTCAAGCCTACAGCACGCCTGAGGCTCAAACTCATGCTCCTCGCCCATGGTTGCAAGTCAGGGAGGGCAAGTCGGAAAGCCCGCGAATTACAGTTGCTGAATACTGTTTAAAACCATGTCGAAAATCCTTGATTTTCCCAGCTGGTTCGCGGGTAGGTACAAAGCGCTACGCTTCCAAACAGCAGAGTTGCAATTTCCGGACTTTCATTGGGCTCGCTCTACGCTAAACATAGCCAGTTGTCGCGTGCACGAACCTGGGTACCTCACAAGGGTTTTTGCCTTAGGGGTGGGTTTTGTTTTTTTTCTTGGGGGGGGGGGGGGGGGGGTTTTTGGGGGGGGGTTTTGGGGGGGGGGGTGTGTGTGGGGGGAGAGGGGGGGGGTGTGTGTTTTTTTTTTTTTTTTTTTTTTGGGGGAGGGGGGGGGGTTTTTTGTGTGTGTTTTTTGTTTGGGGGGGGGGGGGGGGTTTTTTTTTTGGGGGGGGGTGGGTTTGGTTTGGGGAGGGGGGGGGGGGGGTTGTTGTGTTTGTTGTTTTTTTGGGGGGGGTTTGAGGTTTTTGTGTTTGGATTTTTGTTTTGGGGTTGTTTTTTTGTTTTGGTAGTTGTTGTGGTTTTGGGGGGTATTTGTGTGGGTGTGGGGGGGGGGGGTTTTGTGGGGTGTGGTTTTGTGTTTTTTTTTTTGGGGGGGGGGGGGGGTTTTTGGGTGTGGGGGGGGGGGGGTGGGGGGGTTGTGTTTGTGGGGGGAGGGGGGTGGTGGGTGGGGGGGGGGGGTGGGTGTGGGGGACGAACCTGGGTACCTCACAAGGGTTTGCCTTGACGCCCGTCCAATGAACGAAGCACCAGGCCTTCACAGTCCCCGAAGTTTGACCGCTCGAACGACGCCCGCCTCCCAGCACGTAGAGACAGTCGGAGGCCACCACACCGGTGGCGTCCCAGCGGCTGCAGTGCATGTCCGGCAACTCCTATGAGACTTGGTGGGGCCCCCCTAGACATTTGGAACCAGCGGTGCTGTGGCCGGACAAAATTCCCGCCTAAGAAACCCTGCAATGAAAATTCCCCTGTAAATGCCAACCAACAATGGTTTCCCATGGTTTCCCATGGTTTCCCAGTGGTGCAGTATGGTGCTTTCACAAAAGAGTTCTCACTCGGCTGTCATGACGTGAGGTACAAATTGGCGGCATAAGGCCCACTGGTCGACTGAAATGGGAAACTACAAGTCTCTCAACCATTTGTCAATCTGGTGCATACACATGTACACAAATATGTGTATATATATATACATATCTATGTATATACTTATCTGTATCTGTATAGAACATATAGATATATATATATACAAATACAATATACAACTGCTCCTCACCTCTTAAGGTGCCCTTCCGTGATTGCTTGAGCCGGCAATAAACGTTGATCGCCTAACAATGTCACGCCCCTCAACTCGCGGCCACGCGGGTTTCTAAAACCCATCCAAGGCCACGCGCTGCTCAACTTCACGTCAACCATCCGCACCGCAGCCAACCCCAACTTTGTTTGGATCGAGGATTGAAGGTTCCCCGGACTACAGATCGAAGACTCCCTTTGGGTTTTGCGGCAATGCTTGGAATGGAACGGCCGGTTGCTTGAGCTGGAACAGCAGGCACGGTGCCCCACGCAACTGCGCAAGCGCAGCCACGGGAAAGAAAGCGAGCACGGGCGTTAGAAGGCAGGAACGGGGCAAGAACCAAAAAACAACGCAGACACAGCAACAAAATCCAGACAAGGAAGAAAGAAAAAGTCACTGGCGGTCCGCTCATTGCCCGTACCTTGGGACACCGCTTGGGGGCGGCCTGTCGTCTAAGCCTTCCCGCTTGCCAACAGAAGCAACAAAATCTGGCACAAAACAAACCCGCGCGAACCATCAAACCTGTGCGAGCAATCCCAACATCTGCCGCTGAGCCAGACTTCCCACTCGAGGCGCCAACGCCAGAACTAAGCACCACCCGACAGCTAGGAAGCGAAAACGTGAAACAATTGCTGGAATCACTGCGCAGAGCGCCTCAGCTGGCTTCAGCGCCGCAAAGTCGCTGCCAAGAATCACTTGCAGAGGTCACCCGACACCGAGGACATAAGCCGTTGTCCATTCGTTGTGGATGAACTCCAAATACCGGCCGGATTCCCCTCAGCATCTTGCACCGGATGGAAACAAGCATCTTGACGCGCGCCTCGCGCTCTGGCGTCTGCTGAGCCAACCTGCGTGCCTCATCGAGATCAGGAATGCCCAGCAGCTCGCTCTCGGAGAAAACCCGAAACAAGGTGCGTAGATGCCCTTGCAGCAAGAATGCCTCTCGGTCAAGCCCTTGGGCGCACCCGCAACCGGCGCGTTGCCCACTTTCACCGCGATAGTATGTTTCTGGGGCGGCCCTCAATTTGCCACGCGGCAGGAGAAAGCCGCCCAATTTTGAGCACACTTCCAACCACCTGACTGTCCAAATTGGTCTGGAATCATCAGATCAGAGCTGGGTATCTGCACTACTAGGGCACTGTTAGACCTGATTTGGGTGTCAATTCTAAGTAGCTGGTCAGATAAGAACGACATCCTTCCCCACTGATTCGCGCGCAAAACGACAAAAGCAAAATACATACCAGAGCTGTTACACGCGCGTTGAAGCTTCTGAAGAGGACTTTGCGTACTACTCTTGTCCTGAAGAAATTGCGCTTTTCAAGCTGGAGCTCCTGCGGTGCACTTCGCGTGCTACGTGTGCCATGTGTTGGGCAAACATGTTCGGAGGAAGTAGACTGGTTTGAGATGGAACTGCCTGTTCAGTTTTCAGAGCAGCTCAAAAATAGCGTCTCTCCAAATTTGACGTGCTAAATTGACATAGAGATATATGTATATAGAGAGAGAGAGAGAGAGAGAGAGAGAGAGAGAGAGAGAGATAGACTTGGTCTCAAAAACCGAACAATTTGCTGATGTTCAGTTTCCACTTGGTTTGCAGATGCGTTTCAGAAAGCACTGAAATTTTCAGTGCGCTTGCCTTGCTTTTTGTATTGCGCCAGGTGTTGTCTGCGGACTTGATGTGAAACGCGAAACAAGCCAGCAAAAAAAAAGACACGGAGAACAGGAAAGCGCGTTCAGGTGCAACTTTGCCCACGATTGAAGTACTGCTACTTGCAGTGTCTTCCAAAAAAATAGCACACCTTGTTGCGTTTTTGGATGGTTGAGCTCCAAAACCTGCAAAATCCAAAGCTCAAAGCTCAACAACTTGCACAGGTACAAAAATGTAGCAAACAACTGTCGGAATGTCAGATGCTAGGACTTGGCCAATTTGTGGATTTTATGTTGCATTGTTTGAGCCTGCGCAAGTGTTGGAATGCAGGGTCCTCCAAACCTGCACAGGCTCAAAAGATGCGGAAAAATTAGCTGGTGCAGCTTCTAGCGCTTTGAGCCTTGGATCCTTTCACTTCTTATAGACCCAAGTTCCGCACTGAAAGTTGCCGCAAGGATTGCGGCATATTGTTCGTCTCCCAACAGGTAGAGAGCCGAGACCCACAGATCTTCATGTCCATGAAAATTAAAAAAAAGTCAGTCGCAAAAACATACATGCGCCACCCACCCCCCTACCTTTGAAATCATGTGTGTAAGTAGACAGGTGGGCCGGGGATATACTGGATATATAAATAAATATATATATATATATATGGTCACACCCCCCCCCATGAACTACCTCTGAACTACATTGCCTGGAAAATCATAAGAAAGACTGTAATGTACGGTGTTTTGTGATGTTTTTATGCTGGTTACAGCCATACATGATCGAATGATTTTTGGCGCCTCAAGTTGATGATTTTCGTCTTGGCTATGTATCTGGTTTGACACAAAACACTGTAAATTGCAGTGCTTTCTGTAGATGGTACCTAACACACCTTGTGAAAACTGCTGCAAAACCTAGGTTTTGTGCGAATTTCACTGTTTTATGCATTTTTTGCAACGTTCAATAGTTTGTCTACAGTTTTATACTATGTTTCAGCTGAACTCATAGAAGCCCAAAAAACCTCGAGAAAACCAAAAAACCCAAAAATCCAAAAATTATGAGACTTATGTTTGGTTTGGGCTCATTTTTTGTATTTTTGTTTTCTCAATGTGTTTTTGTTTGTTTTGTTGTTCCTTGGGTTTTTTGATTTTTGACAAACAAAAAACTTGGAAATTTTTGATTGTTTCATGTCATGGCCTTAAAATCCAAAACAAAACCAAGTTTTGTGGTTTTCTGGATAACATACCTCGTAAAAACCAAAGAACCTTGGGTTTTTTGATTTTTAAGGCCATGACATGAAAAAACAAAATTTTGGGGCTTTTGGTTTTTTGTAAAAATCCAAAAAACCAAGGAAAGGCAAAAAAGCGTGGAAAAACACACATTGGGAAAACCGAAAAACCAAAAAATGAGCCCAAACCAAACATAGGTCTCAGAATTTTGGAGTTTCCTGATTTTTGGATTTCTCGTTTTTTCCTCTTTTTTTCGTTTCGGTGTTTTCATATAAGTTGCATTGTTATATTTCTGAAAAGTTCTATTTCAGATGATTTCTTGGAAGAGCTAGGCGCACGCATAGTCAGCACACGCTTGCAGAGCATCAGTGCGGCGCAGCTTCTTTTTCATCAGAACTCTGCGCCTCTCTGCAAAACTTCCACGCTGGCTACATGCACCGAGGGGTGAAAAGGCAACCTGCTAAGGCAATTTCCGCAAAAACAACCTACATAGATCTGCTCAAAGCAAAAAAAGCCTGCTTCTGTGAGAATGCATCACAATGAAGTTATACATCTGCATCGAGCAATGAAATCTTCCATCTGCACATCTCTGTCATATAATGACATCTGAGAGGCTAGCAGCCCCAGCAACCGAAGTTCCTTTTCTGCAATCAACATGAGTGGCAGCATGTGCTGAGCATGGACATAGCGAGCACTGCTCTTGCACTTATGCATGCACAAGGTGTATGCTAGCATTCAGGCCCAAGCGCTCACTCTCTTTGTCTTGGGTAACAAGCTTTTGGGCAGATGGCCGCGCTCGTCTCGGGTGATGTGTCTTTGGAGAACGTTCAGGAGACGTTGTCAAGGCTTGTCCTGTACCGCACGAGCAAGCATACGTTCCATGAAGCCAGTGAGGGATCGTTGGGCGTGCTCGACCTCCCTACATACGAGATGCCAGCAGCAGGGCTGGCAAACGTCCAGTGAGATGCCCCCAAGGCACTGGCCCGGCAACGTCCAGATGATCTCCACCACACACTTTGCCACCCCTGCAGCTGTCATCTCGTGTGTAGGGAGGTCGAGCACGCCCAATGGTCCCTCACTGGCTTCATGGAACGTATGCTTGCTCGTGGGGTACAGGACAAGCCTTGACAACGTCTCCTGAATGTTCTCCAAAGACACATCACCCGAGACAAGCGCGGCCATCTGCCCAAAAGCTTGTTACCCAAGACAAAGAGAGTGAGCACTTGAGCCTGAATGCTAGCATACACCTTGTGCATGCATAAGTGCAAGAGCAGTGCTTGCTATGTCCATGCTCAGCACATGCTGCCACTCATGTTGATTGCAACAAGGAACTTCGGTTGCTGGGATGTCATTATATGACGGAGATGTGCAGATGGAAGATGTCATTGCTTGGTGCAGATGTATAATTTCATTGTGATGCATTCTCACAGAAGCAGGCATTTTTGCTTTGACCAGATCTGTGCAGGTTTTTTTCAGGAAATTGCCTTAGTAGGTTGCTTTTTCACGCAAAAAGTAGTTCATGGGGTGAATATATATATATATATATATATATATATATTCTATATGCTGTATATGAATGCTGTATACATACGTATGAATGCTGTATACATCTATACATAAGTAGCATGTGGCTGTGTGCGCATGTTGGCAGCCTTCAACTGTCAATTATCTTGGTCCACGCCCCCCTGCTTTCAAAACAGGGTTAACATGCGGTACCTCTGTCTTTCTTTTTGTTGTGTTGTTCCTTCGTTTCTTTTCTTTTGGGGGAAAGGGGTCAAGGAAAACCAAAAGGAAGACCGAGATCCATCTTGGTGGGTCCAACCTCAGCCGAGGCGAAACGTCGACTCCCCTCCTCCCAGGTGCCCAGCACCGGATCGAAGCGCTCCGCCGTCTTCAGCACCTGGACGTGTCCGACGTTGGAGAAAAACGCCGCCCCGGCACCCTGTGGTTTGCCGGTAGTGTCTGAGTTCTTGGTGGTCTCTTGGTGGCTTCTTGGTGGTTTCGGGGTGGTTTCGTGGTGGCTTCTTGGTGGTTTCCGAGTGGTTTCAGAGTAGTACCCAAAAGGAAACAAGGAGACATGGAAAACAAAGAGGTGGGTTCATCAAAATTCAAACCAAGAAACGCCTAAGGGAAACCAAGAAGATCAGGTAACATCAGGCTTGCAACTGCGTAAACACCCTCGTCTGGGTTTCTTCCTGTCTTTTGGTGGGAGGTGTACTGGGCCGTCCATGTTTAGTGGCAAAGTGAGACTTCTTCCCCTTCAATTGAACCTTCCACTTCAAGGTGACAAACTGAGAATTGAAAAATACAGGCATAGTTGGTTGTTCTCAGTTGAAAAATGGAAGAATGACCTTTTCAGATGAACCTAAGTGTAGGGGAAAGGTCGGGAGTTATTTCCATTTGCTGAAAACAGCCTCACCCTTGTTCAAGAGGACTTCAGCAGGAAACCAGCACACTCCTCTGTTGGATTGGGCCGCTCGCAATCGGCCGTGCAAGGTCTGAAATCGGCCCGTTGAAGGCCCCCCGTTGGGCTCACCAGTCCCATCGTTGCGAATGCCACGCATGCAAATCGCACAGCGCTTGGGGCGGGGCCGATCCACCGTCACCGCCGCCGCACACCTCGGCAAGCCGAGACTGCAAGCAGCCCTCCAACGGAAAAGGGGGGAATCAAAACGAGTTCAGGATTTTCAGGATTATCCGCGATGCCCTTCCCAGAGATGCGTCCACTTGCAATCTGCGGCCCTTCGGGTCGGAGGCGCCGGGGCCTTCCACTCAATCTTGACAACACCCAACCCTCCATCCGGCGAACGAAATTGGTCCCCTGAACCGGGGAAACGCCCGGCCTTTCAAATTTACGAGCTCAACGCCATCCGGCAAGCCACATGCTCGTAAAGAGCTTGACATGTCCAAGGCTACGTTCAGAAATCCTCACTGCTGAAAGTTTGCTTGCTTGGGAAATTCGCTGTAGGTACTGCAACCTCCGAACTCAATTCAGATCCACAGAGGGCCGTGGGCAGGGCGCAAGAAGCTCGCGCAGCAGTGATCCAAGCCGCCCGCGTAAAGGCAGCCGTGCACAGCTCCTGCCAGACTGCACCAGCCTGGCGACAGCCAAAGCCTTCGGCTCAAGAAAAGCCGATCCATGCCTCTCCCCCTCTTTTGGTTTATTTCACTTACCAAGTTGCACCATTTCACTGTCACGACCTCATCTTGTCGATCCCACAACCCCACTTAAATCACACCTACGTTCCGAAGCACACTGCCCCCCCCTCTCCCCTCTCCCCTCTCCCCTCTCCCCCCAGTTTTTGGGACGTCGCATACCCTGAAGATGCTCCGATCGAACAGGCCAGGCGAACGGGGGGTGGCCATCGGGGCCACACGCTCCCAAAACAGCCTGCTCGGGTCCAGCAGCTCGGCAGAGTTCAGGACCTCGCTCGTGCGTTTTCGACACGGCACAGCCGCCAGCCCCGGCGGTTTCGAGTCTGCGAGTCCGCAAAAGAATACGTTTGCAATGGCGTGGTCGGAACCTTGGCGAGTCCATCCCATGGCATCGAAAGCCTGCTGATGCTAAGACGACTGCCAAATGTTTTGTGGTGTGTCCTCGGGTCTATCCTCCCATGTTCTTCCGATCTTTCCCTGTATTCCCAACAAATGGCTCCAGCAAAGAGACCCCAGTTCTGACAGGAGATGCTATTTTCTCCCTTGTAGGGAAGAGCTCCAAAGTTATTCACAGGCTGCATTTCTCTAGCACCTGCTTGCTGAGCATCAAGTACTCAACCAACTCTTGGCCATGTCTATCACTCTGCAAAGTCAGCCGACGATCAAACCGCACACTGGGCTCACCTCCCGAGGCCCTGGCGTATCGCCCGTCTCCGCCACCGCAGACCAGCCTCGGGCGAGTCTTGTATTCAAGATTGATTTGATTATAACTTATAGCAATCAGAAGAGGGATCCTTTGGCATACATCATTTGTCAGGGGTCCGGAAGGAGCTCAGAATAATACAAGGTTCCTATGAAAGTTAATGAGGGTGGCCTCCTGCCGAAAGTTGTTGGACGAGATCCTGCACCAGTCGGCCAGTGTTTTGCCCCATTACTCACATTGCTTCGTTCACTCCAACTGGTGCAGGATTTCGTCCATCCAGAGTAGGGGTGTGTGCCAGAGCGAGTGAGTTATCTGGCCACTTTGCAAGGAAGCGCAGAAGCCAAAGATGCGACAAACGTTCCATGCCTCAATCCATGTTCCGGCAGTCATTGCAAGGCCAGGGTGGCTCTTTTCGCGTTGAAGCCTTGAGTTCAGGCGGTAAACCCTTCAACCAGACACATTCATTGGACAAACGCAGGGATACTCAAACGTGAGATGGGTATGGGTCAAAATGAAACCACCAGGGGGACTGCAGGTTTTAGTCCATGTTTCCATTTACCAGGGTTCCATTTTGGGCACCCATTTTTGACCCACTGCCATATCACGTTGGGACGTTCGGAGAGCCTGGCCACTTGACAAACCATGTCAAAACAAGTTGGGCCCGACCTCAAAACATGGACATGGGGGGGTTGATCAAAAGGCCCCAAAATGATGGGTAACTTTTCCCATTTATCGTGGAACTCGTCTTTGCTTTGTGGTCTCGACTGCCGTCACCCCACGTTTATCGGACTTTTGGCGCCCCCCCCAAAGAAAAAAACAAGCATATTGTGCTTTTCGTAAAACACACACACACACACACACACACACACACACACACACACGCTCAGGGTGTCCTGTTCTGAAAAAAACAAAAAAACGCCCGCGTCCCTTTTCTTCAGGGGCCCCAGCCAGCGCTCCGCCAGCACGCCGGAGGCCGCGCGGATCCGGCGATGGCTCATGGCGGGCAAGACCTGCGCGAGGCGAAGGGCCCTTTGAATGGTGGTGGGTCTGTTCGTTTTCTTTCTGTGGCGTGTTACTGTGGGTGGATGAAATCCATTGCGCACCGCTTTGAATCCATGCAAAACCAGTGTCTGTTGGTATTTACAGGGACATCCTCATATCAAGGTTTCTGAGTTGGTGCAGGATTTCGTCCACCCACAGTACAACCACAACAAACAAGACAATGACAAGTAAAAATAAGCTTTATCCAGATTCCCTTTGGGACTTTGGGGAAAACAAAATGTGGCACCATGTTCCAGTGGCATCGCGTTGCCGCCATTCTTCGTTTGACGGGAAACCGAAAGGAAACCAGCCATGTCCTAGGGTTCCGATTCCTAGTTTGAGACAAAGCCTGGTGGCTTCTGGGGTGATTTTGGCTGGGTTTGGGGGTACTGCCTCCCACCAGTCCCAGCCATCGTGGGGCGCTCGGGCAAGAGAACTGAATTTTGGGATCACCGAACTCCCGTTCCCGCTTCCACAGGGAGACCTAGTTGACCAGCTGTGCTGCTTCAAGACTCCTGGATTTTTTCGAGTTTGGTTCGAAGCAGTGGACCAGGAATGCTTCAAACGGGGGCCTTTCAAGACCTCCCAATATCAACATGCGCCCCGGCTTGTTTGGACAACCCCAACGCCCAGGCAACTGAAAGTGAGCCGGGGGACACCCCCAACCAGGAACGAAGATGGCTTTCCTCCCACTTGTAGTATGGTTGTGGTGTCTGTATTCTCCTACTTAGCTTTGATTGTGACTCAGGGCCTGAATCAGGTCATCTCGGCTCCGTGGGAAACAACTCCAAGCCGAAATCGTGTGGGAGTATGCAAGTGCTTGAAGTTTGCTTTGGTGTTGCCACGCAATATGGTGGGTTTAACTGCAGGCACACCCAAAGCTTCGTGGGGCTTTCAACACCCCGGGAACCAACTCCATTCGCACCTCCCATCGCCCCTCCACCAGCCGCTCTGCAGAACCTTGCGGTGCACCCGACGAGGGATTCCCCTCGCTCTTGGGGGGAAATGAAAGGAAACCAAAATAAAGGGAAGTGGTAGGAGGTCCGAAGACGGCTTCAAAGGGGGGGAAAAGGAAACCGGTCGTTCAGTCAGCCGTTAAGATGCACACATCAAGTCCAGGTTGAGAGGTTCTCTTCAGTCCGATTCGGCACTCCAGATGGCTTCGTGTTCCGTTTCGAAAACTTTTGTGGAACCTTCCAGCTGGTTTTTAACATATCAAATTCATAGCTCGGCTGAGCCATCTGAAACAGCAACCCTACCTGAGGCCTGTTGAAGCCGCAAGCCACCTTTGAGAGAAAGGACATCCCCACACCAAATGTTGAGACGTAACGCAAAGGTCCTGCGCTTCCGCGGGTGCTTTTGTGCCAAGCATGGTGAGTGTTGCCATCCAAACAACGGCATGTGGCGTGCACTTGGCGAAGACGCGCATCTTGGCGCTCAACTATCCGTGGTGGAGAGCCCACGGCGTAAAATTGGCCATGGGTCAAAATCCCGTACCTCTGGTGAACATCCCAATCCCCACTAAAATAGGCTAAAATGAGTGGTGCACCTACCCCAACAGCCATGTGTTTTAGGACAACGTTCCTCAAGCCCGCCCGCCAAATCCGCGTCTTTCCTTCAGATATGAGAACGTAAAGCAGCAAACATCGAAACAACGACTGCGACACGCCAAAACAGGCAAACAGAAAAGAGTGCCTGCTGGGTTTACTGGGACTTTACCGGTGAATCGTCGGGCACCTATAAGACGTTACTTTTCCAGTGTGCGACTGGCTGGCCTGTGAAAATGTCGACAACAAGTTTCGAACTCTGGTCATGAACAAGGATCTTTTTGGCTTGCCAACCTTTTGAACGGAAAGAACTCCTGAACCACCCACTCGTTGAACCTCCATATTGTTTAAGCGACTTGAGATGCTGCGTAGCTAAACCACTGTGTACCCACACCCATCCCCAAAAAGGAGTGGTGGAATTCATCAAAGGCTAAACCTAAATTCCTGGCAGTGACAAAACTCAGCCGAACAGAACAACAAAAGCCCTGATCAGTGTTGCTAACCGCTCGGTTTCCCTTCAAAAGCTGGCAACCCCCCCGCCAATTCGTGAGTCACAAGAAGCAGTACAAACTGCAACCAGACCAGTTTAGCCTTTCAAAGTGATTCAGGGCCTCGAAAAGAATGTGCTACAGACATCTTCAGACGTTCCTTCCTTCCCGCCGCACTATTGATTTTTTGGCTTGATGGCACGTCTCCTTCCCAGTAGCTCGCTCTTGGCCGGGAGGCTCAGGGGCTGTTGCCCATCTCCGCCCCCGGCCATGTAGAGAGCACCCCCCAGCACGGCGCTGGCCGAGCCTCGGAGATCGACGGCGAGAGGGAAGGCATCTGTGGAAAAAGCACATGAGAGACTCAAAAGCAAAAGTGATGAAGCCAGAAGATCCCAAAACAGAAAAAGAACGGACCACGGAAAAATGAAGGACGACCAAGAGCAGAACACAGCCAAACTTTCGCAACCTTCCTTGGCCGAATTTCAGAACCGCCGCAAACCCGGGAGAAAAAAAAAACTTCACCTCTCCTTGCCCCCCTCGCCAAATACCCCCGCAAACCTCAAAAAAAAACACGTCGCCCAAAAAAATCCTTCGCCCCCCTCCCGTTTTCGCCCGCTTGAGGCCCGGCCGGAGCGGTGCCGCGACATGTTGGGCAGCGCCTCCCAGGCATAAAGCTCGGGGTTGAAGCGCTCCGCCGAGCTCAGGGGGGAGCCTCGGCAAGCAGAACCCGGATGGGTGAACCTCAAATGGTGAGCCATGGTGAACCCAATAAAGGTGAACCCAATGGGGTTCACCCAAAAATGGGGTTCACCCAAAAACGTCATCACCAAAATGGCGAACACAAAACCATTTAAAGAGTTGCGGCCGCACAAATCGTGAGAGTTATCAAGGAAGACTGCAATAGAGTACACCCATTTCTGGCTGGGACTGCCCCTCAACCTTCAACTGCCCGGGTTTTCGTTGCGGCTCAGAGATCGTCGCATGTCAGACGGGAGCTAAAAGGAGGCCTGAACCATGGCCTTGGATCCCTGAAGCCTGGTGAGATCGCTCCCGAAGATGGCTTTTGGGTGGGGTCATCTTCTTTGTCTCAAAAAGACGCAAGGGAAGCGGAAGACCAACATTTGGGCCCAACGTAGCCAAACTGGCGGGAAACTTCGTTGCTCATTCGGCATGCGAACGTACACCTTTTTCCTTGGCCTGGGCGACTTCTCTCACGAAAACCTCTCCTTGAAAGCCGGAGAAGGGTGTATTGAGATTCCAGAATGTCAAATGGGAAGCTTTTTGATGGCAAAGGTCGCCCTGGACATGAACCCGATGAGGTCTAGCGCGACAGGCCGGCTCTCGGAACTTGCATTGAACCCGGAGAACAAACCTGAATTCTTGTGGTGCGCATTTTGAATGCTTTGACCAGGTCCTCCCAAACCGATCAGATTTCTCGCGGTACGGACTAGCACTGCCCAAACGCCGAAAAAGTGTTTGTCAAGGAATCATCGGATGTGGTGAAATCGGGAGTTGTAGTTCAAACCCCTATGAAGGAGAGACTCCAGAAAATCCTCCCTTCATCAGATGGATTCCACCCCCAAACCACTATTCCAAGGGAATCATGGGGTATACAACCACTGTACCCTTTACACCTTGATTTCCCCTTAGGGTAGTGGTTTGGGGGTAGTGGAAACCATCTGATATTCATGCAGTGGGACATCCCCATTTCCAGTTTGTCGCTTCCATCCCAAGGATGAGAACCAACTAGAAGCCAGTTTGGTCTCTTAGATCTATGCTCCTGACCCCAAAGTCACCTCTTTCAAACGCTTATGTCGCTGCTCGGCTGCTGGAACAGCAGCCTCCGCAAACATAGAGGCAACCATGCAGGCTCGCTCCTTGAGTCGGTGAGGCGCCGGGGCATGGGCCACACAACATATGGACGGAAAAGCCGACCATGTTTTCTTTTTTTCCAGGAAAGAACTGGACAAGGGAAGCTGGACACGGGTGCGTCTGTCCTCCCACCCAGAACGGCGATCCTTGGCTTTCAGTGACTTTCAGGGTCCCATGGCTTGCCATATGCTCAGCTCCCTCAGTGGTTGGGGACGATTTCCCATTTACCCAAGACAACAACCAGGCGTTCGCCCCCAAGCCACCAATCCAAGTCACCAACTCAGGGTGACCCGACATACCCCTTGTGTCACAGCCTACCAAAACACATGAATCCAAAGCTGAAGCTCCTGCTGCATCTCGCCGTCCTTCCAGCAGGCTGGGCAAAACCTGGCCAAAAGGACCGACGAGATCGAATTTGAGAGGGGGCCGAGTACTAAAGTCTTTCGGCTTAAACTTTGTTGGACAAAATCGTCGCTTTTCAACTGTGTGAGTCCACCTGCCCTCCCGGGTCTCAAACCCAGTTGAACAGTATCTAAGTAAGCCTAGTGAGGCTGCTTGGGAACCCAAGGGTCCCGCCTTGGAGCCTTTCTCTTCTTCCATGCGGGTCGGATGTAAGGCCTCTTCTCTGAATCCATGTGCATAGAGCAAGGGATGTGTACAAATGTCCGTGTTCCAACAGGATGCCGCACCGTCTGAGGAGGAGCCAACATCTCAAGAGCACCAGCCATCTTCACCTCAGACTGTGATGTCGAACAAACTCGCTGGACAGATCACTGAACATCCTCGAACCAATTGACACCAGGATCATCGAAAAATGTCTTGCTTGACATGTTCCACTTCGAATCGACACCCGTCTCCGGGTGCCAGAACCAGGTTGCGCCCCGCCCAGCTTCGGGATCGGAACCCGGCGCCTCCCACTCTGCTTGGCATGGGCGGAAGCGGGCAGCGCTGCTCAAAATGGTGAGCCCATCCTTGGACGTTCCTCCCAAACCATGGACTACCAATGACTCATTTGTCAGTTGCTCAAATGATGTCTCCAAACGAAATCTTCTCAGTCATGGTCAAAGTGCGGGTTCTGTGCTGCGGAAAAAACGTCGAGGAGTTTGATTGCCTATCCCAAATGGATCTGTCTCAAAACAGGGCAACCCTTGCTGGGGTTCATTCTAAGGGAAACCAAAAGGACACCAACCATGTTGGGGGTTACCGTATCTTGAGACAAGCACAAAAAAAGACACTGGGCCATTGCAAGACCCAACCATTTCGCCATTGAAGCTTGGGAAACACGGCTGGTCAGTCCTTTTCGGTCCCCCCACAGCTGCAATCCGCTTTGTTGCCTGCAGGACATTCTCCAACTAGACTTCGACAACTCTGGCAGGGCTGCTTTTTGCAATCTGTTCCTCTCCCAATCACCAAGTAACCCAGCATGATACAGGAGGCTTGAGGCTTGATATCCTGGGCTGACCCAACGCGTCAGGCCTCACCTTGGGCAATCCAACCAAGTGAAGCACCCTCATAGAACCAAAAGAGCGAGGCCTCCCGGTGGTCCACTTGGATCAGCCCAAACTCAAAAGCGAGCAAAGAAGAAAATGCCACGTATTTGGATGTACGTAAACAGGCTCATCAGCTGTGGACGTCGTGGTCATCAATGGCCGCCGATCTTCTATGTGGGGATGCGTCAAAATAAAATCATTTGGAACCTCAACAGCCATGCTCCTGGAGTTGGCAAAAGAAACTTGAGCTTACAAACCCGCACTCAACACACCTCCCCTGTGGCTATGTGGAAGGATACGATTCAGAGTGTGTGTGTGTGTGTACCCTGGACGACGCCTGTAAAGCCCCAGTAGAACCAGAAAGTATAGCCCAGTCGACTTGATGTTGTGTCTGTGTGTGTGTGTCAATTTGGGGTCTGTACGTAGGAGCTCGGCTTTGCGCATGTCTCAGACAAAATCAAGCGCCAAGGGTCTTGTCCTCCGCAGACGTAGAGGTCCCCCCGAAGGACAGCAATCAGTGCGTCGGACCGCTGCTCGGGCAACTGCGGCATGACCTGCCAGAAAAGAGCAAGCCGCCTCAGACGAGGTCTGGGACGTCCCGGTCTGTTCACGTGGATTATGTGTGTGTGTGTGTGGGTGTGTGTGTGTGTGTGTTCGCTGCTTGACGCTGATGTACTTATGAAATTACCTGCACACATCTACACATTGCCAGCACAATCCCTTTGAACACTCCATAAGCATGGGAGCATGCAGAGTTGCCAGCCCAAAAGCTAAGCACTCGCCCTGAGGCTTAAGACTTACCAGAGACTCTGATAGAAAGTGGTGACCCCGTCTTCAGTCTAGCGATTTCAAGTCTTTAAACCAAAAGGCTTGAAATTCTGTGCCCCGGAACCTTGGCACATGGGCTAAAAACTCTGCATTGTCCCGTGCTTCTGGGGTATAAGTACAACATGTGAATATGCGATAGCAATTCCATTTGCGGCGGTGGTCACACTCTGGCGATCCGATGTTCGCCAGCGCTCTCGCCTGGCCTCCCATGAGGGCAAGGACATACTTCCCACGTGTCGGCCCAAATCGAGCCGTTCCACCTCAGCTTCCCGCTCGTGGAACGCGAGCAAGCCATGCACGAGGGCCCCTTCAAAAGACATGCGCAACGCGGAGGCCAGCGCCCATACCCACGACCACCCGCGCCAACTTCTCGCGGGGAAT